AGCTCTGGATTTTGTCCATCTGGGTTGGGCTGCCTGAGACCTGAGACCTCCAGGGAGCTGGGGAGGTTGGCTCTGCATGCTGGGTGGACGAGGTCCCACCTGCCGCTTGCAACGCCCCAGAGGCTACCACGCGTGCACAGCTGCCTCTCCCCGTGACCTCAATGGGGCTCCTCTGCATCCAGACGCTGCCCTAGGTGTGGTCATGTGCCCAAGGAACCAGAGGTCTCTCCAGGGACACAGCGGACAGTTCTGCGGTGGAGTGGGGGAAGGGAGGGGCTTAGCTACACCGCAGGTAAACCGTGGTGAGCTGCAGGTAAAAGGGGAGCCTCTCCAGGAAGGCCAGCCAGGCCTCCAGTTACCCGGTGCCAGGGAACATGCCCGAGATGCGTGCGATGAGACTGAAGGGCTCCCGTCTACCCCCCATCCCTGCCCTCGGAGTTGACAAGGACGGATGCTCTCTTGCGGGGCTCTCCTGCAGTATTAAAGATTTCCACTGCTGACAGTTCCTTCCAGTTAGCACTTTCAGTACTAAACTCTGTCATTATGAAGTAAAATATGCATGATCTCTGAATCTATGTGTGTTATAACGAGGTTTCACTGTTACAGATTTGTCGTCGCGGTCCTGCATTTCTGCCTTTCTAAAACCCTAATGTCTGATAGCTGTAGCCCGGGGCTAATTAAGAAGTGGATCTGAAGACTCCCAGGCCCATTCTCTCACTTATTCATGGAAACGTATCGAGTGTCTGCACTGAGGAGTGGTCCACGGCAGGTGGGAAAGACAGTGATGACAACCAATTACAACCCTAAAGAATTTGGGTCTGAGCTGGCACGGGGGCCCCTCCCCCCACACATATAAATATTGCATAAAGTACCATAAAACAACTTGAAATCACAGCTGCATTCAAAGGGATGGAAGGAAAAACTCCAGATTCCAAAAACAATGGGAACTCAAAGCCAGCGTGGAGAGTCAGAGCCGCAGGGGCGTCATGCGATGCGTGGAACCAGGTGTGGGGTCAGGGCGGGGCTTCAACCCCCGAGCAGAGGGACCCTGAAGACCACAGCCTCTCGGGTGGCTGGGGCCAGAGGTGAGACCTGGCATAGAGCTGGGTGCCTAGAAGGGTCGACTATCCCCACCCAGCTGGCTGACTGGTGATGGCACGAAAGTAAGAAGACAATTTGGGTGGAGAAAAGCTCATCAGCAAAAGATCAGAATCCAAACATGCGCCAAGCACAGATAGGGGTCTGAATTTGCACCATATTCCCACAGTGTGGAAACCGCACACGGAGAAGTCGATGTACACGTTGGTGTGAAATTAATGGAACCCAACAGAGGAAAACTTGAACCTTCCCTGAGGCATGGTTCCATGGCCAGGGGCCCGGAGGGGAGAACCACTGTTGCAGATGAGCTCACAGAGCAATTACAAGGCACGTAAGAAAACAAAGTAAGAGAGCGAACCTCAGGTTACATTAGGCACCTGGGTCGGCCACCTGTGCTGACCCCAGAATTACCTAGAAACTCCTATGTCTGTCCATCCATTCAACATCATCATCATGCCAACTCTCATCTAGACACTAGACAGTGTCTGAGGCCCCTGCCTCTCTTCTGTCCAGTATAAGACACACACACACACACACACACACACACACAATTCTCTTTTATTAAATTTGCACACCTCACCATTAAGATACATAGGAGCCATACTGTTCACATCTGTCCCCACCAGCCAGATGTGCTCCCAGGTGAGGATTTCTGCCTCACCTGGACACCTTCTCACCTGCAGTTTGGTGAGACTGCTCTAGGGTGGTGACCCTCCAGGCTCAGTTTGGGGACTAAATCTGGTGAGCACTGAACAGATAAAGAGTATAGGTTCTTTTTGTTTCCATGGGTCGATATCATTTGAAAAATGTTCACTTTCACCCCAAACTGCTGGTGGCCCACTGAGCTCTGTATTCTAGGAAACTTGGGCATTCAGCATTCAAACTCAATGAGCAGAGTTGACTGAGGACTCTAATTCAGCATCCACCAAAAACAACAAGAAACAAACTGACCACCCGGTCACACTCACCTCACTGTGCAGGGTCAGGTCATAGGTGTCCCACCCCAGAGCAGGTCACTGTCCCATCGGAGCATCATCAGCTTTGTCCTGAATCGGTTGAGGTTTGAAATTGCTGCTGTTTTTGCTTTGCAATCACCAATTACTCTCCCTTCAGCTTCACTGGCGTAGTGGAGACAGGGCATGTGGATACCTATGTGGTTGTAGTGACTGCTGTTTGCACCATCCGAGTTTTAACCCGCTTTTTCCACTAAGGAGGCCTTAGGATGCGTGCCCCTGTACCTGAAACTAACACAACGTCATATGTCACTTACACGTCCATAAATACAAGAGGCACACCCAGCGGCACACCTCAACCATCCACATCTCCACCAGCAGGTTGCCCTCCACCTCCTCCATTTCTTTTTTTTAATCCTCACCTGAGGACACTTTTGCATTTATCTTCAGATAGAGCAGGAAGGAGAGAGGGAGGAAAAGAGAGAGAAACATCGATTGGAGAGAGACACACTGAGTGGCCACCACCCACACGACCCTAACCGGGGCCGGGGCCAAACTGCAACTGAGGTACATGCCCTTAGCGGGAACCGAACCCGGGTCTCTACGGTCCGTGGGCTGACTCTAACTGCTGAGCCAAACCGGCCAGGGCCATAACCTCCATTCCTATCCCAAGGTCCTTCATAGGAAGAGGGAGGTCAGGGGGATCGCTGTTAGTTCTGCCACACAGAAAGCAGTCGAGACAAAAAATGTTTACCCCCCTGGGACAGAGGCATCGACTTCCTTGGGTGTTTGAGACAAACTTACAGGCACCCACACTTTGGGACTGGTAGTAGTAAAATATAAGTGAAGTCACTTCCTCTCGGGCAAGGAATAGTTGTTCCAACCTCCATCTAGGAAAACACTCACTGGGCGCCTGATGTCTGGCCCAGTGCTGGGAGTGAAGCAAGGCAAGAGGCAGCTGCCCTGCCCCCGAGGACTCAGGTCAGGCACCGGCACGGAGAGACGAAGAAACAGAGGAGGGAAAACCCAGCTCCTTCAGTTACTTTAGTGCCTGTGTCCCCTGCTCAGGGAAAAGGGCGCGGATGAACCCATCTGTGCTTTCTTCCTTCTCTGCAAGGCTGGTGTAACCTCCGCGGACACAGCCCGAGGAGCCATCAGAACGTCTTCTACAGATGTCTTTGTCCCTTGGCCTCCTCTCCTTTTTTGGAGGCTGAAACAGTCCCATCAGAGACTCAAATCATAAATAACAAAGGCAAGAGGAGGGTTGCATAAGCAAACACAACCACCAGAGGAGATCCCGGGCTTGGACACTCAGCCCTCCACTTCCCACAGCTGCGGTCGGCCAGTCACGCACGTCATAACGATGAGCTTGAACAGTGCCAGTCAGTCACTAAGGCCTCCTCGGTGAAGGGAAGATGGGCACCTGCCTAGGGTGTAAGAGTTACTGTGGCTCACGGCTTCTAAAGGGCTCCCCGTGGTCCCCACGCCCCAGCATCAGCTCTCCTGGGCAATCCTCTCCCCTTGCATGTGGGCGGGGCCTGCTGACTTGCTTCTGAGGAACAGAATGTGGGAAAGGTGATGGGAAGTAACCTGTGGGATCGGGTCGTAAAAGGCTGTGACCTCCGCTTTGCGGGCATGCGTGCCCTCCCGGCCTGCTTGGTTTGCTGAACGGGCTGCTGCCCTGAAGAGGCCTATGTGGCAAGGAACGGAGGGAAGCTTCTGGTGGACAGCCTGCCAGGAGCCGAATCCTGAACGACCAGAGTGAGCTGGGAGCAGACTCTCCCCGGTTGAACCTGGAGACGAGGGCAGCCCCAGCCAACTCCTTGATCATAGCCCCTCAAGTCACCCTGAACAGGGGACCCAGTGAAACTGCGCCTTGATTCTTGCCCCATAGAAACCATGAGATAATAAGTGTGTGTTGCTTTAAGCTGCTAAGCTTTGTGGTACCTTGTTACTTAGCAATAGATAACTAATCAGTACGTGGTGAACTTACCTCGGCAGAGAGTGTACAGGCGTATTTTAGGAAATTTTAAACAATACAGATTGGTTTTTCTCTTAAATGCTAGTTAACAAGAACGGACAACCACCAGACCCAGAGCACACAGGGCAGTGATTAGAGTAAGACTTTCTTTACATTAGTGGCCGCAGACGATACAGCCATAGGGCCCACAGAGTCCTCTAGGGCAGTGACTCTAACTGGGGGGCATCAGATCAGCTGAGGAGTGGGGACCCACTGAAGCGGGATCTCCACAGGTGGAACCCACAGCCCCGAATCGATACAATTTCTCCCGATGAGACAGAACGTGTGTCCCTGGGTAAGAACCACTGATGAGCCCCTACTCCCCAACTTGACATAACAGGAATGAAGGGCCAGGGGAGCTACGGGTCCGTTGAAGGCCACATGCCTGTCGGTAGCAGCCCAGGTCTCCCACCCCTGCTCACTGTTCACCTGCCCCAGACCCCAGAGCCCCGGGCGCCCACTCGGGAGAGCTCGGCCGAGCCCCGAGCTAACGAGCTAACGTATGTGGAAACAAAGAAGCAGATACACAAAAAACTCCCACGGTTCCTTTATTTGTTTCAAAAACAACTTCCACTCTTCATCTTTTAATGTAGCCCTGGCCTGGTGACAAGAAAGCTTTCCTCCCTGGCCTCTCGTATAAGAAAAAGAACCTTGTGAACACTTCCTCTCAGATGTGTCTCCAGACACCAATCAGGGGCGGGCCGGGAACTGCATGGCATTGAGGACGTGGGGGATCTGCCTCGGAGCCCCACGTGGTTGCAAGCTTTTCCTCCATCCTCCCTGAGACAGTGGCCCCCGCCCTGGGGGGCTCTGCCGCCACCTCCCAGGCCAGGGCGTCTGCAGTAGTCACCGGCCGCCGGCAGCCTGATCTCCAGTCTGCTTGTCATCGGGCCAGCGCCGCGCCACGGCCCCGCGGGTCCGGCCCGTCCTCAAAGGCTCACCATGTCCCAGTGCTGGCTCATGACCGAGGACTCACACGGGTTGACGACGACTTCCCTGCCATTCTCAGTGCCGTCACCAAACATGTCTGTGTCCAGGCAGAGGTGCGAGGCCACGTGCTCGATGCGGGAGCCGGTCTTCGTCCATTGCTGAGGGACGGAGAGGAGAGAGGCTGAGCCAGGACTCTGCGAAGGCCGGGCCCAGCAGTAACAGGGAGCTCCGGCAGGATCAGAAACGTTTAAGCACGTGGCCGAGGTCACCTCGAGACTCAACGTCACGGTCTCGTGGAGAAATAAAACAGCACCTAATTGCTTTGCCAGGTATTACTGTTGTTTTTTTTAATCAGATAAAAAAGTAAAAGCAAAATCAATATGTTTGCTAGGAAAACTCATTAGAAGGGAATAACCTTCCCAGAAATAGGCCAGAAAATGTGAAGCGAGTTGGTCACACGAACTACCAAAGAGGTGACCCGCACTGATGTCTGCATGGTCACATAGACGGGAGTGAGCTGCGGGGGTGGGGGTGGGGGGGCGATGCAGGAGGGGCGGGGGCTGCGGGGCACATGGAACCCTCAGCCCCTCCAAAGTGCTCCAGCACGGGGGGCCCAAGCAGAGAGGGTCCATGCTGCTGCTTTCCAGAGGTCATCTTGCATGACAAGCAGGGGGCAATGGACACGTACTGGGACATCACCACTGACCAGGTAGCATGGGTATCTCAGGTAGTTTCCTAAACAGCTACCCTGTGTGGTGGGCACCATCCACTGCATTTCAGAGAAGAAGGAACTGAGGCCCAGAGAGATCCAGTGATCTGCCATGGGTCACACAGCCAGTGAGACATAAAACAGGCATTTGGATCTGTTTCCTGAGTGCCAGCACCCGACTGGCAGGGGCCTGAGTGGGGCTAGCCCTGGCTGCTAGGGGAACTGGGCACATGGAGTACCCAGAGTGCTGTGGACATGGTGTGCACCCTGCCGGAGACCAGGGCCCTGGAGGGGGCCTTGCTCATCCTGGTGGCCCTGAAGGTTTGCCCCGGTCCTTGCCTGCTCTGGGACCCCAGGCGGGGTTGGAGTAAGACCGCACAGCACAACATACATGTGCCTGCTGGGGTCCGACGAGGTCGACAGCTTTCATCTCGCAGGCCAGCCGCTGACGGCACCACGGAGGTGCTCAGAGGCCGCATCCTGCCCCTCGCCTACCCATAAGGGCCTTTCTTATCAGCACTCCCTCTCCCATAGCTCTCCCCTCCTGCATAGGAAGCTTAGCCTGCACAGGCAGGCATGTTATTGAGGGCAGGCACTCCCGGGGCGGAGCCACACCCCGGGGCGGAGCCACCACCCACTCACCTGTTTGTCATCTCCCTTCTTGCAAAGGACAAGAACCACTGGGGCACCAGGGAAAAAGGTGATGACTGACAGGCACAGCTCCTCCTGCAGGATCTGCTGGGTGTACGTGAAGGCCCAGATCTGGAGGGAAGAGGCCAGAGAGGCTCACATTAGATCCTTGGAGGCCGCCACTGCTGGGTTACCACTGGGCTCATGTGTGACAATGTGACACGGTCTGCTGCACAGCACTGGGAGGCTTACAGCAATCCGATGTCCACAAGGTCACCTTGGAAAATGCTACTGAAGAGCCAGACTCAGGTCACACCTCTACTGCAGTCTCCGTCCCCACCCCCATGACGGGGACTGGCCTGGGGCATGCGCAGGGAGGAGCTGAACAACACCCCGCCGACTGCACGACTGCACGTGGTCTCCAATTTCTATTTGGAGGTGTCGGTTCCCCACACTTGACATTTCTAGCAGCTACTTGGCAAGTCTCCCCCAAGCTGTCTTTAGAATGTCCCTTTTTCTCTGAAAAGGAGTCTAAATTGGTGTGCTGAGAACGTGAGAGTTATGACAAGAGGCAGATGGAGGGACAAAGGGAACCAAGTGTCCCGAGGGAGGGAGGAGAGGGAAGGAGGAACGTCATGAGAAATAAAATTACTCCAGGAGGGTGCATACACTCCAGCACCCCAGCAGAACAGATCGCCCGGCCCCTCCCGCCAGCCAAGAAGCTGAGAAGTCGGTGGGCAAGCAGAGTTCTCGTGATGAAAGGAGAAGACGTTCATGGCAAAGAATGCTCCTCACATATTTCTTCCAAAGTGTCAGAGGTCAGAGAGCAACTAACTGCCCACATGCTTCCCAGTTCCTACATCAGAGAGCCAAAATGTGAACCTCTGAGGGTTTGCTCAGGCTGAAAAATGGGGAGGTCTGCCCTTTGCCTTCATCATGGGCAAAGAGGATGATTCTTGAATTGGATGCCCCAAGGAGAGCTGCAGAGAGGACCCCGGTAGGGGCTGGATCCCTTCTCCTCCACTTCACCCCTACCGGCCAGCTGACCCTCAGCCTCTAAATTAGACCACTCATTGGCTACTCCTGCTTGGCCGAAGAATGGAAAAGGGGTCCCTTGGCCGGCCAGCCTTGTGCTAGGACCCCGTGTCCCATAAGCTAACACAGTATTTACCTGACTCTTGCGCTGCACCTTCCCTAGCTCCTGGCAGCCACCTGCCGGCGCCGGTGCCCTCCTGACCTCTATCTGCTGACATCTTCTACGTCTTTCTGTGGCTTGGCTTGTTCTCCCTCTTTCCCACCAGCTTGGCTCCTTCTGCTGTCTCACAGGACTGCCTGGATGCTGACACCTGCCTCTCCTGCTCTGGACCGTCCCGTCCCCCACACCTGGATGGGGCCACCAGCCCAGCGGGAGCTTCTGTCCCCTAGGACTGGGTCTTGCCTATGGGTTCCGGTGTCCCCTTTCAAGTTGCTGGTGTTAGGATAAGACCTAGACCAGAAAGTACTCCCCGAGCAGCGAATGGACACATAGATGAAAAAGACCGGCTGTGACTTGGGAATTCCTTGAGCCTGGGGATGGGTACAGGGGGGATCCTTACACGCGTCCATCTATTTCCATACCTACACGTATTTGAAATCTTTACGGGAAAAAGTTGTGAAATGTACTCTGTGACACGGATCAAGTTCTCTGGCCTGTGCACGTCAGCATTCTGTACATACCTTGTCTTCGCCCAGGACGGGCTGAAAGGAGAGACGTCTACGCACAGAGGCGAAGCAAAACCAGGACAAGCCTGTTAACAATGGCTAACGTGCATGGAGCACTTACTGTGTGCCAGGACAGTTTAAAATCTTCATGAGAATCCTATTAGGTAGCTATTATTATCCCCATTTTACAGATGGTAAAGTAAGGCCCAGAGATGTTATCCATAGACACGTCCTAGCAAGTGGCCCCTGCACACACTGTCTCCATCAGCTCTGCTGTTGCTGCCGCTGCCACGGTCGTGGCTGGTTCTGCAGCCCTTTCATCCATGTTTCATCACAGGAGATGTCTGTCCCCAAGATCCTCCTCCAGGTTGCAAAGATTAAAACTCTAAATCAGCTCCCCTTTGACAGGGGAGAGCTGGCAAAGATTCTTCTTCTTGGTCAGTTCCCAGTGGCAACCCCTATGAGGAGGCAGACAAAGGTCACACCCCATGTCGGGACTGCGGAGGGGCAGACCAGAGAGCAGGACCCTCCCTAACGTGGCTGGGAACCGGGCAATGTAGGAATGGAGGCCCGCACTGGGGGGCCCACACACCAGCCCAGGGGACACACACAGTGCTGGGTTCCAGCCTGGACTGCCCCCCTTTCCTTCCCACCCTGGCTCTGCCCCCGTGGAGAACTCCCAGCCTGCATGTCCATGCTTGGTCACTGCCCTCTAAATGGTCCCCCTTGGGTCTAGGTGTGTGAGGGACACAGCCCACCCCGAGAGGACAGACCCAGGGGTGGGATCCACACAGGTCCTAAGATCAGACTTGAGCCAGTTGGGTGAAGGATTCGGGGTCCTAGACGTCTAGAGTTGATCTAGAAGGTAGGAGCAGGTTCTAGGTGTGGGCCGGGTGTCCAGGGAGCCATTCACCCAGGCCCACCTATGACTGGCCTCCATGTGAGACTTCTACCATTGTCTGGAAATGAGGCTTACCACAGTCACCCTCTGTCCCATGACCCCACCTTACAGCCTGCAGTGAACCACGTTTTAGCATTTTAACACTGACCCTGCAATTCTCTTATGATCATCACCACACACTGGCTTTGTGTTTTTTACATGAAAGGCATTAACTGGGTCAACAACAACAACAACAACTTAAAAAATATACCATGATTTCTGAAAGCCCATTTCGGCATTTCTTCTTTTCTAACATCCTAGTGGCTTCGAAAACTGAGTGCTGGGGAGGGTGTGTGTGTGTGTGTGAGTGTGGGAGCTGGTTTTTCTGACATCTGAGACACCCCACCCACAACTGCCTTTGGGGAAGGAAGGCAGGGGGGACAGCCCTGGGACTGGGCTGGGGCCTGAGGAGAGCACCTCGAGACCCCCAAAGATCTTACACAGACAGGGATCGCAGCCTTTCCACTAAGTGGACTTCCCATTAGCTGGTGCTTTCCCGGCACTGAAGTAATTCAGCCTCTGAATCTCCCAGAGGAGCCCGGCTCAATGGCCACATCTGCAGGAGGGAGGGTGGGGGAGACACAGGAGAGGGAGCAGGGAGCAAGGAGGGGTTTCCGATTCCCGCCCTGCAGCCTGTCAGACTTCCCAGAATGGCCGGTGATGAATGGGTTTATTAAACAAATCCCGGAGTCAGAAATGGATTCAGGAAGGCCGCGGTGCTTGCTCAGAATGGCCTCGATCGGTATCGCTGCGCCTCTGCCGATGACTCCATCCGGAGGCCTGGCTAAGTCCCAGCCCCCACCTCCAGTGCACACAGGCACAGCCATCCAGCAGAAGGAAACCGGAGGCCATCCTGGAGGCGGTGTGGGTGGCCTTGTCTCCTTTGGGACAGGCTGGTAAGGGGCTGAGGAAGAGGGGTTCCTCCCCTGGAAGAGGGAACTGATGATGGGGAGAGGGGGGTGCAGGCTGGGCAGCCCTGAGGCCCTCGGAGCTGAGAGGAAGCCCCTGGAGACAGCGGCTGCGGTGGGAGCCCGCCTGGCAGCGGGGACAGCAGCCTTCTCTCTAGGAAACCGTCTGGCTGCAGCTGGGCTGAGACAGGCCACAGCGCCCAGCCTGGCACCACTGCTTTGCCCTGGATGGCGAAGCAGATGGGAGATTTTAAGAGGAGACACTAAAGGAGCAGAGTCCTGAGAGAAGCGGCATGGAGATGAGCCGGGGCCCAGGCTCAGGGCTACCCTTAGAAGCAATCAGCCTGGGCAGCAGTTCTCCTCGGGGAGGGAGTCCCTGTTCACCTTCTCTACATATTTAGCTTTGTCTGGAGACATTTTTTATTATGACTAGTTGGGAGTGGTCACTGGTGCCTAGTGGGTGAGGTCAGGGATGCCACTAAACACCCTACAATGCACAGGACTGTCCCCACAGCAAAGGATTACCTGGCACAGAGCATCGGTAGTGCAGAAGCTGGGAAAGGCTCGCCTGTTCTTAAGGGCTTGTCTCGGGAGGCAGCCAGTCTGGGTCAGAACCCTGCTCAGGTGCTGCTGGTGTATGAGCCCGGTCAGCTAATCTAAGCCTCATCTGCTCCGCCTGTGAAATGGGGGTACTGACAGGACATGGTTTACAGGGTTGTTTGAAGACTAAATTAGACGATGCATGTGGAACACTTAGCCCAATGCCCGGCCCCTGGCGCAAAGTCCATGGGAACTGTGTTTTCACGACACGTGAGAGGGGGACGTGGCTGGATGAGACTAGAGAAACAGTCACATGAAGAAAGAGGTTAGGGGGCTGTGTTTTCACAGATGCAGAAGCTCACAGCCTGTACTGGTGGTGGCGAGTTTCCCATTAAAACACTCTCTGTGTGGGAATAGTGCACAACGGGAAGAAGCACGGAATGCCAGGCGGCACTGCCCATTGTGCTGGGCTCAGATAGCCAAGCGGCGGGCAAGGGACTAGCCAACTCTGGTGCTCCAGTCATTGTCCACTTCATCGGCACAGACACCTGCCTCTGGGGGACAGGCACAATTTAATGGAAGAGCATCTGTTACTGAGGTCACTGTTATTCTGGGCAACACCAGGAGCAGACCCCAGGGTAGACTGCGAACCTGGGACCCCTTTGGTGAGCTAGGATCTGAGCTGAGAGTAACCAGGGCCACCAGTCGGCCTCGAATCTCCAAGGCCCCACTGGGCAGCACATGAGTCCATCAAACACGCCCCTGAAGCTCTTCAGATAAGGTGTCTGGATCGAACGAGTGGCTGCCAGTGAGACTAGTTCAGCCGACCTCTTGGTGGGCCTGGGTCCCTGGAGGAGCCCCAAGTACACTGACTGCTGGGGCCGGGGGCCTGGCTCACCCTCTCATTCACCCCGAAACTGGGGGAGTTTCTGAACTCTGCACCTCAGTTCCCTTGCATGAAAAATGAAGATACAGTCAGTCCCTCCTGCAGAAAGTCACTGGGAGAAATACATGGGTGAATACAGGTGTGTCCAGGGGCTGGCCACAGAGCTGGTCCAGTTACCGTCCGAGGTCGACTGTGATGCTGGAGGGAGCCAGCAAGAAGGGAGATGGCCCTGCGGGTTCTCCTTTAGAAACCGCCTTGGCTTTGCCTCCCCGGAGGGATGCTGGAGAGACCGTTGGAGGGGGCAACTCCCAAGGGTGCGTTGGGAAAACTTGAGGAGGAAGGGTGGCCTCAGGCAGGGAAGGGGACGTGCTGGCAACCTGTCCCACCAACAGGCTCCCCTTGAGGTGCCAACGTGAGCCTGGCTGTGGGGGACAGCTTTTATCTTCACCCCCGCACCACCTGGTATCCGGCCGCCTGCACACATACCTCACAAGCCAGTCGCCTAAATTGTTGGGATCCAGGTAACGGAACACACTCAGACATTTTTAATTTACATGGCCTCCCTGTCTTTGAACTGGGATAGCACCTAGATCGGTGCATCGGTCCTCCTTCCAGAAAATCCAATGAAGGTAAGAGGAAACTTGTTAACCTAGAGGCTTCCCGGGCTTCGCGTGGTTACAAACGGATGATGCATTTCTCTTGCCTTTCACCCAAGGCAGCAGTGTGCCAACATCTTCAACACATTCAGATCCGACACTTTGCTCCCAAGGTTGACAAGCCAGCCAAGGAGGGACGGCAGAATGAAGGACAAACGGGGCTGAAGCAGGGACACAAGCCAGCATCAGAGCCAGAGGTCAGACATGGTCTGCTAATCTCCTTCCGGCCATGAGGAAACCCTCGTGCCTGGACACGCACCCCCGGACAGTGAGTGGCCAGATGGGAGCAGAACTCGGAGCTCTTGGCTCCCACAATCGGTGTTCCTTCACCCCAGACGTCTAGGACCCCTCAGCCCTCACCCAAGTGGCCCAAGCCTGATTTCAGGACCTGCGTGGATCTCACCCCTGGGTCTGTCCTCCCGGGGTGGACTGTGTCCCTCACACACCTAGACCCAAGGGGGACCATTTAGAGGGCAGTGACCAAGCATGGACATGCAGGCTGGAAGTTCACCACGGGGGCAGAGCCGGGGTGGGAAGGAAAGGGGGGCAGTCCAGGCTGGAACCCAGCACCGTGTGTGTCCCCTAGGCTGGTGTGTGGGCCCCCCAGTGCGGGCCTCCGTTCCTACATTGCCCGGTTCCCAGCCACGTTAGGGAGGGTCCTGCTCTCTGGTCTGCCCCTCCGCAGTCCCGACATGGGGTGTGACCTTTGTCTGCCTCCTCATAGGGGTTGCCATTGGGAACTGGCCAAGCAGAATCTCTTGCCAGCTCTCCCCTGTCAAAACGGAGCTGATTTAGAGTTTTAATCTTTACAACCTGGAGGAGGATCTTGGACACAGACATCTTCCGTAGTGAAACTTGAATAAAAAGGTTGCAGAACCAGCCATGACCGTGGCAGCGGCAACAGCAGCAGAGCCGAGGCCAGCGGCCAGATTCTCCGAATCTGCCTTCGGCGCCACCTGCATGACCCCTCCACGGCCGCGGTTTCCTCCTCTGTACCATGAGCCTCACAGTAATAGAGTGATCGCCCTCACCCTCAAAGGGTGCGTTCCAAGCCCCCAGTGGATGCCTAAAACCTCAAATAGTACCGAACCCTGTATATACTACATTTTTTTCATATACATGTGCACCTTTTCACCTACAGGAAGCGCTTTAAGGCTTCCCTTTGGCATTTGCCCATTGCCAGCCTCACTGCGCTTTGGGCCATTATGAAGTAAAGTAACCCAGATGGCTACTAAGTGACCAGTGGGTGGGGAGCATACAGTATGGATCTACTGGACAAAGGGACAGTTCGCGTCCAGGACAAAGTAGGATGGCCCTAGATTTCATCATGCTACTCATGACAGTGTACAGCTTAAAACTCATGCATTGTTTATTTCCGGAATTTTCCATTTAATATTTTTAGACCACAGGTAACTGAAACCGTGGGGAAGGGGGCCTACCACACTGACTGCATAGGGCTCTTGCATCGCTTCTTTGACAGAGCCTCTCAGAGTCAGGAAAGGTGGGCAGGAAAGAGGGGTGCATGAGTCTTGTGAAGGGCCGAGGGGCAGATGTGACCCCCTGGACAGGTAGAGATGGAGGCAGGAAGAGGCAAGGTGGGCGGAGCACAGAGCCCTGGATGCCATGGTGCATGAGCAGAAAGGGGTGCGGAGCAGGAAGGCAGGCCTACGAGTTGGTGTAGGAAGGAGGAGCAGAGACTGAAAGGAGGAGAAAGGGAGCATAAGTCAGTCCCACAAGGTGTATACTCCACACACGCACACATATGTGCACACACACAAACCTCAGAGTTGGGGTAACCATGCCAGCTGAGATAGTCATGTGGATTTCTTTCCGTCTAAAGTGGGGTTAGCACCTTCAGAATGCTTGGACATGTGTCCCGGTCCCTCGAGGACAGGGCTGCGTCCAGGCCAGCAGAACCCCACCTTGCAGCCCGGCACGCGGCCGGGGCGGTGCAGCACGGGCACTCGGTGTTGTCTATCTCAGCGTGCTCTTCCATGATCAACGCTGTCACTGCTGCTGCACAGCACAGCCGTTCTCCCGCGCAGGGGAGTGGCAGCCTGGCCCTCTCTGGAAAAGAACTCCGCTCCCTCGAAGACTTGCTACAGTTCTTAGTTTCCAACAGATGACTGCCTTTTCCTCCCTTTTCTCACGCCACTGGACGGTCAGCTGCGATAGGTACTATGGCTCTCCAGTCAAATAAAGGCCTGCCAACCTCTCCCGGGGCCAGGCTATTGGGGGACCTCTCCCCGAGGCCCGAAGATCCGTGGCTGCCCCCCTCCCACTTCCTTATGTGGCCAACGGCATTAAGTATGGGAAAGCCTCCACTTTGCTGGACACAGACTGAGAAAACTCCCATGCCCGCGGAAGGGGGGCGACAGCGTCCTGGCTGTTGGGACCCCCATGCAGAAATGGTTCTGGAAAAGTCACAGCAAGTGGAAGATGGTGATGAGATGCTTCAAATGCCAGGCGAAGAATGGGGACTTTTGAGGTAGACAATGGGGAGCCACCGAGGGCTACATTGAGATGGGGACAATGATTAGATGATCGCATGCCCCGGAGGGTGAGGGGCAGGGACTGGAGGCTTTGCCATAATCTAGCACAGTGGTTTGTGGGTTGAGGCCAGGGATGCTGCTAGACAGCCTACAGAACACAGGACAGCCCAGCCACAACGAATCGTCTAGCCCAGAATGTCCACAGCGCTGCCACCAAGGAATGCAGACCAGGCAGGAGGAGGCAAACGCAGTGTCCAATGACACCTGTTCTGAGGGAAGCTATGATGATGCTCGAGAAACGGGGTAAAAGAGGAGCCGCAGCGGATGTGCAGGGCTGGAATGGTCGAACCCACCCACCTCTCAGGATGCAGCACACTTTCAGGTCCTCCGGGGAGACGCCCCTGATTCTTGTGCATATGCTGAATCCCACCTGGACAAAACTCTCTCTAGGACAGAGTGCACAGCAGAATGGCTGCTTGCTGGCTTATTTCTGCATTAGACCCCTTGAGGGACCACGGAGGCCTGCAACCTAGCCTTTCATTTCAGCATCATCACAGTTAGCAGAGAACGTAGATGTTTGGTGAATGAATGAACGAACGAATGAATGAATGAATGAATTCATAGGTGGATGAAGATACAGAACTGGTGAATCAGCGAAACAGAGGTGGTTGCCAAAGCTGGAAGCATGGATAGGATCTCCAAGAAACCACTTGCAGGGAAAAGAGCAGTGACTGAGATCCTTGGTGAATGCTCACAGGGTGTGCGAGTTGGGGAGAGGGGGCAGCAGAGAAAGCAGAGACAGGGAGAATGGAGATGCGGGAGAACGGGGGTCACACAGAGCCACCAGGGCTAGGAGGACGTGCACGCGATGGCACACTTGAATGCATCCAGCAGGCCAGATGTTGGAGAGGCTGAAGCAGGCCATGATTTTTCAGTGACCTTTAAAGAGCTGTTCTAACACCAGAGGGGAGGGCGCTGGCCCACAGAACATGGGGGTGCTCTGTTGATGAATCGACTAAGGCCCCAGGACACCTTTCTGAGAAGGGGTGGCATGGCTCCTCCGTACTGGGGAGAACCAGGAGACAGCAGAGGCGGAGCTGCTGGCCTGGAGTCTCAAAGGCAGAACCACCAAGAGATCGTCAACCTCGAGGTAAGCCCGTGGGGCAAGGCAAGCGCCCTGCTCAGAGACGGGGGTGGCAGAGGATGTCACTACCCGGAAGTCTGGGTTCAAGATTCCCAGAGCAGGCATCTCCTGCTGGAGCAGCGTCGCCCCGTGGCGTGCTTTTCTCTTTGCATTTCGCATTTGGGAGAGTCGGGGTCCTGCCCGCCCTGCCCACCCTGCCTGGCCCAGCCCACATTTATGGCCGGCAGGTGGACATGACAACATACCCATTCAACTGCTCATTTAATGGCAATTTCCTATCGGTACGATTCCAGAGAAATTCCATGGCACCGAGGGCGTGAACCCAGACCCAGAGTGAGGGGGAGTCATGCTTCTCCTACTCTGCTGCTGAGCTCTGGGTATCACTGGGCACTTGGTCACACAAAAGCAGGTGGCAGAGGCTGAGTCCATGCACACATTCACAAATCCCCAGCCGGTTCCTTACCTGGGACTTCGCCTCCTCGCCTTTGATCTTGACACACGGGCCTAACCTGAGGTTGGGGATCTCCTGGTTTTTCTGCCTTTGTGACTCCAGGCACTTCTGCCTCTGTCGGATATTGCCCTTCTGGATGGAGGAATCCTTGGGGACTCTAGAGGAAAGCCACCAGAGAGATGAGAGTCCCCGGCTCCTGGGATTTTAGCACTAGCAGCTGGAGAGGCAGGGCAGTGTTTTGAGAACTGCAGGGGGTGGCGGCATTTTGCCCGGGCTCTGCTGGGGGGAGGATACCCCTAGGAACAAGGCAGCAAGGACAACCCCCAGAGACAAAGGCGAGATGGAGCTGCAATGGAGCCAGCCCGCAGGGTATGTCCTCAGATGACATCTGGGGGCTCAGACCCCGGCAGTTGACAGACACTGCTCCTAGCTAACCTCAGTCCCTCATGCTACTAATACAACTCCTCTTCTGGTTTCACTGGACTCCTCCGACCTCTGTATACTTAAGCCCTCATCCGGCTGGCCACAGGCTGTCCTCCAACCAGACCGCGCCGGCTGAGGGCCCCCCTTGCAGCCGTGCGCAGCTCACACGCGGGCAGATACCTGAGTTCCGGGTAGACGTTCTCCAGGTACCACTGGAAGCTCTGGCACTGTAGGTTCTTCCTCAGGTCCAGCCTGCTCTCGATGCTGGGGGCAGAGAGACCACACCGCTGGCTCAGAGACAGGCACCAGGCTGGGCAGCGCCACGCACGACCCGAGCGCATGCTCTGCGCCCACATCTCTCCGGAGGGTGCTGAACGAATGAGAGATTTCTAGAGCTCCAGACAGAGCTATGGGAACACTTAGCAATATCTCACAACGGTGCAGTAATGGCACCAAGGACTTGTCCTTTAACTTGAAAACGGATTTTGGAGGTGTTTTGACTTTTCATTAAAAACAAGGCTACAGGAACATTCGGTGTGTTGTAATAACTCACCAGCGGGACTCTGAGGGTACTTACAAATCCCTCTAAGGGTTCTGCAGCCGAAATACCACCCCGGCCACCCCAGCTGCCAAGAATCGTCTTTGCTTGGATCTGGGGCCTGGTCGTGTACTTGTCCATCAAATATTTATTGAGCACCTACTGTGTGCCAGGCATTGTGCCTAATGTGGGATATATGGTGAGCTTTGGAGCAGGAGAAAGGTAATGAAATGAGTGATCACAACCCACTGTGGACGTAGGGTGAGCACGCAGGGACCGTGGGAGAAGCTCAGGGGTGTGCTCCTGCGTGCCAGGTCAGCGGTGGTCCACGTCGTAACACTGAAGGACAAGTGGACGTTACCTAGACAGACCAGAAGGTGGGTGAGGCAGGGGACTAGCAGAGAGAGAGAAATGCATGGGAAGAAGTGAGATTTCTGGGGGCAGAAGCAGCTCTGTGGGGGTGAGCGTATATGTGCACGAGAATACTGTGCAGGGGGCAGGATGGGAGAGGGAAGTGAGTGGGATGAGAGGTGAAGACACAGACCACCTAGGGCTTGGGAAGCGGGGCGTGTGGGGCGGTGGGGCTTCATGTGAAGGGCAATGGGTGACTGATGGGTTCCGAGCAGACAATGATGCGGCGGTGTTTGCACTTTATGGGCATCTTGCTCAGGCCTGACGGGCAACGCTGGAGGCAGGGACAGCAGTGGGGAGGCAGTTGTAGAAACCCAGGTGCCGATCATGACTTTAGGGAGAAAAGTGGGGGCAGGAACGGAGAGAAGTGACGGGTTCAAGTCCTCCCACTTCTCTCCATCTGCACCAGGAGCACCTGCCTTAGCTGCACTCACACCTCGTCCCTCCCGGGCGCCCTCACAGACTGGCCCTGCTGCCCCAGCCACGCCTCCTGCCACCTACGAGCCACAGGCGCTCCCTCGGCACCAGGCTTCTTACACAGCACGGGCCACGTCCGCCAGGCCCTCGCAACACGGGCCGGGACGGCATTTCTGGGTTAAAGCTGAACGTTCAGTGTCTAGCAGGGACCTGGGTGCCCAGTGGATGAATGAGGCAGCGTTAGCAGGACGTGGTGATCGCCTGGACCCGAGGGGAGAGGAAGGAGTGAGGGCTGACACCCGGATTTCTGACTCGGGCAACACGATGCAAAGAAGAACGCTGGCTGAGATGGGGAACAGGACGAGGAGCAGTCCAGGCAAAGTGGTGAGTTCAGTTGGATCTTGAGTTGGAGGCGCCTGGGAGACGTCCAGGTGGGATGTCCAGGGGCACAAGGGCTGGAGCTCAGAGAGGTCCGGGTTAGAGACAGGCACCTGAGTAGCAGCAGCGTAGCCGTGGGGCTGAGGCCAGAGAGAATGTGCACCAAGAAGAAGGCTTACGACAGACCCTCGGGGAGACCAGCATGTAAGGGTGGCGAGGGGAAACCGAGGCCGCAAACAGAGGGAGAAGGTGGAGCCTGAGCAGCTGGACAAGAGCCAAGATGGTAGTCCTAGAAACCCAGAGAGCCGGGGTGTGCCATGGGAGCACGGGGGAGCCAGGTGGGGGTGCTGGGTGGGGGAGGGGCGAGGCCTCCGCTCACACAGGGAGCAGGCCCCAGGAAATGCCGGGGGCTGTTTCACCAAGCCCAGCTCGGAAGAGGCAGAGGACAGGGTGTAGGTCACAAGCAGAGTCGAACTGAAGGAGAGTTTTTGTAGTGCTTTCTTTCTTCCTCTTCCTTTTCTTTTTCTTTTGAAGATGTAAGATGCTGAGTAAGTTCGAATGCTGACGGGAAGCGTGCAGCAGAGAAGAGCGGTCAGGGAGAGTGGAGACACATGGCGGGCAAAGTCCCCTAGAACAGTGGTTCCCACACCATCTGCACATGAGAATCACCAGAAAGGGGGGATGGGGTCTTTAAAAAATTCTACAGCCTAGGCCACACCCCAGACTGACTCAACTCTCTGGGTGCAGAGGCATCACCAGGTTTTGAAGGTGTTTGCCATGTGCGGGCTACTCTGGGAACCATCGCCCTAGAACCTTGCCCCTCAGGCTGAGGTCCTCTGACCAGCGCACTGTCTCCCCGGGGGCTGATCAGAAGTGCAGACCCACCGAACCAGCGTGCCCATTTTACCAGATCCCCCTGAGATCTGTGCACGTGAAAGTTTGATAAGCTCCGAGCCAGGAGGCAGGAGATGAATCCAGGCCGTGGGAACTCAATGAATGTTGATTTATAAATGAACGCAGGGATGAAAGGTGCCTCTGGGGTACAGGTGGAGGGCTGGCCTGTCACAGCAGGACACACGCCTTGTCCTTTGAGATGAAAGAGACAGAGGAGGAGGGAGCAGATACAGTGAAGTTTATAGGCTGGTTTTTCTCCAGAAGTTGATGCCGTCCATCTCATCTATAAAACAGAAGGTGTCCTCTGCCGCGAGAGACAGGGGGTGTGGACTCAGCAACCGCGGAGAGGGTTTAATGGAGCTGGAGGGAGGACGCTGGCCAGGAAAGGCTGCAGGACCAGGAGGCACACTGAGGGCCTCCTGAGACTGAGAGCTACGGAGCGTTAGCGGCCCCAGCTGGTATTTCCCAGGACTATTCGGCAGCCTGGACACAGGGAAGGAAAAAGTAGAGAACCGGGTTCATCCAGGGCTGAGAAACTTTACCTGAGGGTGCTGACGTGCACAGCAGGGCAAAAGGTCTGAGGACAGCATCTTAGGCTTAGAAGGGAGTGGATCCAAGCTGGAGAGGGAAGTGAGGATGGGGCGGGGCAGGGACATGGCCAGGGGCCTGGACGTTTGGTGAGGACTGAGACGAACGCCTTGGGGGGCTGGGGGAGAAGTGGAGGGACAGTGTGGGTTAACGACCTCAGAGATGCAGATCATTTTGTCGGGGTCTGATTTAGTCCTCCAGAGCAGGGATAGGATCGGCCTATGACGAGTAGGCTGCAAAAACCCACCTGCTCCACAGCCTTAGTGTGACCAATAAGCGACCCTAGTACTAGATAGCAAACGCCACTGGCTGCCCCCGCAAAGACAGATAACACAAATGAAGTCGCCTCTCTTCCTCACTCAAATCAGCCTTGGGTTGGGGAATGCAACGTCCTGTAGTTTTAGAACCGGCCGGTGTGGTTCGAGCCTCACCCCCTCTTGCAGTGGTGTGATCCAGGGCAAGTGCCTCACCCAAGAAGCCGGTGGTCTCATCGGCAGGATGAGTGCCTACACCAGCTTGGAGTCTGGGGAGTGCTCACCACGAGATGTCCCCTGTAATGGCATCTGGCACGCAGCTGCCTTCCCTGCCTCTTCACCCATGGGCTGCAGCACGGCCCACGCGCCGCCCGGGGAGCGGAGGATTCAGGCTTGGGTGCCGGGGACCCAGGAGGAAGGCGCTCGGACGGCAGGCGCTGAGGCTGCGAGTCCCACATTCCAGAGCTGGGAACGTCAGTCTGGAACAAGGACAGCCCAGCCTACGGAGCGGGTGGTGCGGGGTGCCCTGCCCTCCCAGCTCCGGCAGGAACAAGAGGGCCGTGAAGGGCCGTGAAGGGAGAGCAGCCGCAGCCCGGGGCCTGGACGAGCTGAGCTCCTTGACTGCACAGGTCACCCGGAAGGGACACTTACTTGCCGAAGGGCCTGTCCAAGGCGAATGGCCGGGCAGCATAATAGTACTGCTTGTATTCATCCATCCACACTTCAGCTGTCCGTTTGGTGTTCCTGGGGGGACAGGGGGTGTCAGGGAGGTGCTACCTAAGCGGAGCCAGTTGGCAACATCACCCGGGGCCCCCATGGTCCAGTAACACTACTCTTCCCAGGGTGCTGAGCCCAGCCAAGTCCCACCAAGTCGCCAGTGGAACCTTTACCCCGAGACAGGGTTTAGAATAAATGACAAACTCTTCCCCAAAAAGTGTGCACCAGAAAATTACCCAGAAACTGAACTTCTGTGCCTCAAAAAAGAAATCACAGGAAGAGCCAGGAGAGCCCGACACATCCGAATGGCGTCAGTAGCCAAGAGGAAGGAGCAGGCCCTGCGCTGGCCACCTGCCTCGGGCCGCCCACGGGCCCTGCTCCAGGTGCCGCCTGCACACAGGGTACGTGCACAGTCCCAGCTCTCCAAGGCCTTCCTGTGGGCCAAGCACCCAGCTTCTTGCCGGTGTAAAGAATTAAGTGCTCAAGCCATCTCAGACATTTGCCAATGCTCTTAAGGTTTTTTAAAATAAGATACTTGCTCTGAGTCTAACCCCAAAGGTCAGAGAAACAAGACAGAGAGGGAGAGGCGCTGAGAAGGTCGTCGCTCAGCAGGCAAGGAGCGAGGATACAGGAAGAGCCCCAGAGTACAGAGAAGAACCTGTCAGAGCACAGCCAGTGCCAGGGGCAGTGTGGGGAGCAGCGTGCTGAACTTGAGGACTCCCCAGAGACGGTGTGCTCCCCCAGATTTCCGGTTCTACCTGGAGCGGAGTCAGTCAATAGAGGATGTGCAAGCCCCTCCCAGCGGACGGGCCTGAAATGCGTTCTGCACACGCGGCCCAGTACTCGGGGCACTGAAGGCAGTTCTTGGCTTGCTGTCCTTCCTCTGGCCAAACCGGAAGCTGCCTAGGAGACAGCTGCCCCACATTTCTCTAACACCGAATGGCCGATTGGCGGCATGCAGGATGCCCGCTGGCCAGGGTCGTCTCAAGGATAGTGGGTGTTCTGGAGCCAAGGTTCTGCCCCTCACTACGGCGGCCCCACTCGTCATCACTGCCACCTGCTTTCCTGAGCAGCTGTCGCCAGCTCATCTTCCCCTTCTTACACCTCTGCTCCCTGCTGCCCTGCCTGCTGGGCTCCCACTGCCCCTTACCCCCCACGTCTCCATGGAAGGTGTTAGCCTTCCCAGGGCTCAAAGCCACACCTCCTCCGGCGCTGCCCTGTCCGGACATGACCATACCTCTCCATCTGTGTGAAAAACCGAAGAAGGAAGAACACAGAGGAGGAACCTGACACCCCAAAGAAAAACCCCAAATGAGCTGCTTAGTCCTCCCCACCACAAATGGGTCAAATAATAGGAAAAAGGGGAATAAACAGGTGAGAGAAACGTTCAAATGAGAAAAGACAAGAGGATTAGGGCAAAGGAAAGTAGTAGATCAAAACCTTTGAGAAGGAAAAGGACATAGATGACTTCTGTTGAAAGGCGGGAGGGGAGCTGTCCAGCACAGGAGGAGGTGCAGGGGGAGGGAGAGCGCGCCGCGGGAGAGGAGCCCAGGGCCTGGCCGGCCTGGCCCGTCTGTGTGCTGCGAGGCCCTGGGCCTGTGCCCCTGTGCCTCCCCACTCCCCAATCTTCCCAAGGACCTTCTCCCTGGTGACTCCGCCCGAACATGGGAGCAGCCGATCTTCCAGAACCCAGGGCCCAAAACCGGCTGCCCTACCCTGACCCCAAACAGCACAAACTACCCAGAACCTTGAGCCCTGTGGATGGCGCCGCCCAGTAATGCAAAGCCCCCGAGGCCACATGTGGGGCCACATGTGGGACCTCGTCAACCTGGTGCCCCCCCCCCAAACACTGGATGGGCAACCTGACCTCCCTGCAAAGGAAGAGGCCCGGAGAGTGTGCCAGGCAGCTCCTGACCACCCAGAAACTCAGGCAACCTGCCAGGGAACCTGGGACCGGCAAGCCCACCCGCTGGAAAGCCCTGGGCTCCGGTGGAGCCCCTGGGGCACACACTTACTTTATGTACGTGTTGGCGTTTCCATCCGGGAAAACATACGGGTGCTTCTTCCGGAAGACGTGGCCCACTCGGCTGCAGGGGACGATCTCGAGGCTGCCCCCGCACATCCACACTCTGAAGGAGATTTCTGCAAGACAGCCACGCCTCCCATCACCGCTCTGCCCCTCTGAGGGGGTGGGTGGGCACAGGAAACTCCAGGCATCGGAAATGCCAGGTCCCAGGAAGCAGTGAGGCCCGCTGCACCCAGCCCGGCTCAGGATTAAGAGCTGGGCAATCAGTTTCCCCTTCTACAAATGGGGATGCTCACAACTCCAGCCTGGGAGGGTGGTGTGAGTTAGCACGGGCACAGCGGCCTGCGTGGAGGAGGGGCACACTCAGGGCCGCTGCGATGCCGCAGTCTGCAGAAGAGTAGCCCCGGGACCCCGAGAGCACTGCTTTTGGGCACATGACGGTGTCAGTGGGGAAGGCGGATGAAACTCCCTCCACGGGTGAGAAAAGCCAGCTTCCCATCTGGGAGTTCCTGCCCAGCCCATGCGTCTGCACTCAGCTCAAGTATGAGGACGGGCTGGCTCAGGAAATTCAGGCCGCGAGCGACTGTCTCTGGGGGTGCCAGGAGCAGGGATGCGGATGGGGATATGCCAGTGCCTTCCCACCACACAGGTGCCCTGACCCTCCAGCACCTGGGCCCCTTCCTGCTCTGCCTCCCTCCCTCCCTTCTGACCCAAGCAGGCGGCTGGACCTCTTCTCTACCCTGATCCTCATCTGCTCTCTCCCTCACTGTCCTCAGCCACCCTTGTCCCCTACTTCCTCCTACCGTGCGTCCCTGGCAAAGCCACTGAGTTGTAGACAAGGCTTCCTTGACACCGACCCTGTCCTGGGCGGGCTATACCTCGTTCCCAGGAAGCTCGGTTTCCCTCCCAGTGGGGACAATGTGGACACTAGGACGAAGGACTCCTCAAGCCTGCGACCGAACAAGAACACGGGCTGGGGGAGAAATGGGGAGAGCTGGGCTTTGGGGTCAGCAGCCCCGAGTCTGCAGTAACCTACTAGCTGTGTTCGTGGGGAAACCTGCTTGACCTTGCTGAGGCTGGGTCCCCCAGTACGTCAAACAAAAATCACAAAGCTACTCCACAGGACTGCTGTGGACAGCGCATGAAACGGGGCTTTGAGAATGATAAACACTCTAGGCGTGGTGGAAAGGTGAGCGGCAGGTATGAAGAGATGTTCCTCTGAAGCCGGTGTCTGCATACCATGGGCACCGATGGCACTGCCCGCTGGTGCCTGCTCCCAACTTCCCGCTCCTTAGATTCGCCTCGTCTGTGAGCATGTTGCCGCCGGTACCGCTGCATCCCGGCTGCACTGGCTGAGGAGGTGTCCGGGGCCGAGGGAGTGGAGTGAGGCAGAGCGTGAGTTTTGGAGTTGGGGTGCGCTCCAGTTGCCAGCTGCTGGCCGTCAGTTGCCCTATCAGAACTGCTTCTGCATCGGGAAATGAGAGCGTGTGCCCGGGAGCGAGGTTGTTGGCACCGCTGATCAGCTGCCACCGGAGGGAGGCTGAGCAAAGCCCAGGCAGAAGTAAACGCGGGTCCTTTCCTCCCGTGGCCGATGTGTGCAGAACTGATACTCTGAAGACGAAGGCAAAAGCACCAGACCCAGAACCGTCGGGGTCAGGTGAGGAAACTGTCAGGGAGACACTCGGAGCCGGGCCGTGGAGTGAAGAACACTCGCAGCCCAGAGGAGCGTGGAGGAGGACCGGGGTCAGGTGACACTGCTCTCTAAGGTAGGGACCTGTGCATGGCTGTGGCCGAGGACGGAGGCCAGCAGACTCAGAAAACAGCGAAGTGCAGGGCAAAGTGAGCTTAGGGACAGAAAGAAGCAGGTTTCCGGGGACTGGGGTGGGGGTGGGATTGAGGCGTACGCTGGAGGGAGTCACTTAGCAAATGAGGAGGAAACATATGTCTCATTTGAATACATGGAAAGGAAGGGACCGCAGCTAAAACATGCGCGTATTTTTGGAAGGAAGCTGGCACGGAATTTGTAGGTTGTATCCAGTAGGCAAGGCTTCCATCCCCAGTTTTGAGGGATGAGAGCATTTTCCTTTTTGGGCACAAGAGCAGACCCTGTTTGGAGATCCTGGGGAGCTGGTGGGAGCACAGCAGGCCTGAGCCCGCTGAGGAAGCCGCGTCCGAAGACTGAATTCACACAGGTCCGCGGGCATTCGGCAGCTGGAGGCAGGGACGCGGGCAGCCAGCGAAGCTCGCTCATTGCTCCCTCTCCCGCAGACGTCAGCCTGGGGCACGCGGTTCCGACAGCGCCCCCGCCAAGCGCCAGGTCACGGTGGACCTCGACGGAGCGTGAAGATCTCCAGTGTTCAGTCTGCGAATTTCAAATGCCTCCTACGGCAGGGGGAGCCTTAGACAGGCTCCAGGGACTGCAATGGGCCCCCTGGAATGAAGCCACACCTACATGCAGTAGCATTACCCAGCCCACCTCTGGCCAGTGGACCCCTGTTGAGAACAAAGGGAGTAGAGTGGACAGCGGTGGCAGACACACACTCACCTGGCTATTCTGGCTCCTGAGGCCACACACATACGTATGGCCACAGAGACTTTCCTTTCAGTGGTTTTTATCTTCCCAGGGCCTCCTGGGCCAGAAACCTCTGTTACTATTTTTTAACGAATACATAGACTTCAGTAGAGATTATCTTATTGGCACACACACAAAAAGCTTCACGTCATCTGGGACCATCACAGCTGCCTCCGGGCCCCAACTTCTAAACAAGTAGTAACCTCCGTCACACCGGGGCCACCAAGGGCCATACAACTGCAGATCCCACGTGGCACCCTCTAAGTTTCCATGTTCCCAGTGGGACAGAGTGGCCTCCAGGGGTCTCCCCTGGGCACGGGCTTTAGCAAGCAGCCCACACGAGGAACAGAGAGGGGCCTGCTTCCGCTCTGCTCTCCGTCTTGGGGAAAAAGATGACTTTTCGTCAGACTTAGGTGTTCTCAGAGAAGGCCATGTCCCTTCCCGTGAGCCACCCAGCGTGGACAGCGTGAGGCTGGGAGAGACAGCTGGAGGGATGAACTGTTCTCGCGGGTCTGACACAATGCTCCGCGCACAGGCGCTGCTCCAGGGAGCCCGAGGGTTCGGTCGTCTGATTAACCGTCCGGCGGCCCTGCGAGATGGCGGTGCGGTACGTTCTATTGCTACGGTAACAAATGGCCACGCTAACCTAGTGCGTGGGTTTGGTTGGGCCTCTGCCGAGAGCCTCCCAAGGCCAAAATCAGGATGTCAGCAAGATCCTGTTCCTTTCTGGGGCCCCAAGGGAGAATCTGCTTTCACGCTCATTCGGGTTGTTTGCGGAGCTCAGTTCCTTGCTGTTGTGGGGCTGAGGGTCCCCTTTCCTTGCTGGTTGTAAGGCCGGGAGCCTCTCTGTGTCCACGCCACCCCTCCATCTTCAAACCAGCAGGGGCCAGGTCAGTCCCTCTCATGCTGCCAACGTCTCTGACGTCTTCTGGTCCATCTTCCGCCTCCAACGGAAGGAGTTCTCTGCTTTTAAGGGTTCGCGTGATTAGACTGGGACCCCTGAATAATCCAGGATCACCTCCCAACGTCATGGTCAGGAGCCTAAATCTCATCGGCAAAGTCCCTTTTGTTATGTAAGGGGAAATGCGGACAGGGTCTAGCTGACAAGATGGATGCTCTCCTTGGCCCAGCTTTGGTCAGCTCCTCTCCTGAGGACTTGACCTCAGCCCTGCACTTGTTGGGCCAACGTCACCCAGTCATAGCCAGAACTCTGCTAAGCCCGTTCAGAGAGCATCCCCAACCCTTGATGTTCCCTCTTAGTAATTTCCATCCACGGGTGCCCGCCCCCCACCCCTTGGCTCAAAATCCCCACTTGCTCTTGTGTTCGGAGGTGAGCTCATCTCCCTCCTGTATTACGATGAGCTTGGCACCTACTGCGACAGTCCTGAGCTAAGTCTTCCTAACCGTGTTAGCAAGCCTCAGAGTCATTTTTTTCTTTAACACAGCGATAAGGAGTGGCTATCTTTTGGGGCAGGCCATTCTCCCTACCACAGAAAACGCTGTCTCCACTTTAAAGACGTGGAAATGGGCTCAGGGAAGCAAGGTAACTACCTCAAGGACACACAGCCAGTAACGACTGGAGAATTCAAACGCGGGCCCACCCGATTCTGCAGCCCATGCTCATACACACACAGGGGTGCACCAAGCCTGACCTAGCTGATGTCCTGGACTGCATCCTGGGGGGGTGGGGCAGCTCCTCTCGGGGCCTCACCTCATCCCTTTCTCAGCACCATCTTTTGTAACCACTATGCTTTTGACATCCCCCTTTAACCCCCAAGTCCCATGCTCACCCTTCATATGTGTGCTAAGGGTCCTACTTAAACAAAAATGTGCACCCCCCCCACACACACACACACTTCTCACTGGGCAACAGCTTCCAGGGATGAAAAGCTAGAAGTGAGATGTAGCTGGAAGTGAGTAGACGTATCAGATATATTACGTGACCATGTTATGCAAATTGGAGTTTAAATGTGCAATTTTAATGCAAAACAACTTGGGGGGGGGGGGAATAAAAGCCACATTTCCCTAAAGCCTGTGCCTGTGCTAAGCTGCAGATGTAATTATTAAAACTATTCAGCTCTTGTTAGAAACACTCTGGGAATGAGGCTCCAGGCTCAGGCTGGGTGATGTCTGGGGGGTTGGCTTTCCCAGGCAGCAGAGGCTGCTTCCAGCCGCTGAGAGGGAGATGGGGCAGGAGGGCAGCGTGCCACCGAGGACCCTGGTGGGCACCCTGGCCAGAGCCATTTCCAACCGTCTCGTGGGTGTTTGTGCCGTGAAATACAGTCAATGCAAAATAGGCAAACACGTCTGGAACGCAGAGAAATCCCACTTCTTGGAAAGGAAACAACTGCACCTGCTGTTGCCATTTATCCCCACGGGCTCCGTCTAAGCAACGAGGCCTGTTGTACACAGAGCCTCCCAGACTGGACACACGTTGACCTTCCTCCCTGACTCCCCTTCCCAGTCTCGCTTTCGAACACACAGACCGCAGGTTCCACCATCCGGGCCTGAGGAGGAGAAGCTGGACGAATGTCCTCGCCTTACTCCAGGCTGAGCAGGAGGCCGGCGGCAGGCAGAGGAATGAACACAAATTCCCGAGCGGGCTCAGTGCCAGGGGGGAGGGCAGACCGGGTGCTAGGGGCACAGAGCAAGGGAGGGTGCGGTGGAGGGGCAGGGACGGCGTGCACGTCTGAGCGTTGGTGGCCCAGAGCTGTGTTCCTCCGCTGGGGGGGGACACGGGGCTAGGTCCCTGAGGTCTGGGCATGTCAAGGCAGAGCCTCTGGACTGAAGGCTGGAGGGGTGGGCAAGGCCCAGGAGGGGACCCAGCCCAGGAGTGTGGGCCTCCCCCTTAGGACCAGCAGCAGCCAGCCGGTGGCTGCCAGGCCTGGGAGGGTGGGAGAGACTCGCAGTGCAGAGAGCAGGGTGGCAGCATGTTGGGAGGGTGGCTCTGAGGGGCTGGACCGGGGGTGGGGGGTAGGACCACTCAGGACAGTACTCGGGATGGAGAGGGGAATGGATGTGAACAATGGTGGGGGGTAGATCTTCAGGACTTGGTGGTCTGGGGCGTGGGGAGGCCCCTCTTGCCTCACCTGGTGCGGGACCAGCTTCGCTGACACACAGCCTCCTCCACCACTCAGCACCATCTCTCCTCTGTGGCTGAAGCATCCCTCGCCAGCCCATCAAACCCCTGATCATCACCCCTCCTGCATGGACTCCTCCAAACTCCCACCTGCAGGTACCCAGGTGCCTCGCTATCCTCACCCACAGAACTGAGGCCATGCACACGCTTTGCCCACCCTCAGAAAGCACTGCATTTCCCGACGTATAAGATGCTAAGAAAAAGGAACCCATGCGTGGCAGCCGGCTTGGACACCGTGGAATGTTGGGAGGGGAGAGAACCGAGTGTTTCTCGTGAGAGCTGCCTGCAGTGTGTTTTCTGTGGTTTAAAGCGTCTTGAGATGGATTATAAACGTCTCTCCCGCAGCTATGCTGAGGCCCCTCCCTCCTTCCCCAGCTGAATCAGCACTTGATGATGCGGCCCCCTTGGGAGCTGACTTGATGAGATTGCCCACTGATGTGAGCAGATGTGTGTCAGCATCGCTCTGAAGAGAAGGTGCTGGGACGTTGGACCAGATGTGCCATCGTTGAAAGCAACGTGTTCTCCGAGTCCTACTGTGGCTGCACCATGGGAGAAGGAACAGACTCACTCTGTGAGGTTCAAGGTTCAGCAAGCCCCAACAGACAGAAGCTAAGAGGACATGGGCTGCTACCTAGAAGAACTTTCTGATATTTCAACACAAAATTCTCAACCACAGAACATCTGGATTGTGAGGCAGCGACCGCACTGCCGTAAGTAGCACCCGCGCAGAGATCGGATCACTGCTGTCGGTCAGATGCTGCGGAAAGAATTCACCTGGCGGCTGAAGAGAAAGGCTGGAGCATGTCTCTAAGGGTCCTGAGAGGTGTGTGATCATCACGACGTCGACTGGCTCTGCCCAGAAAGAGAGAAATTGTGTCCCCGCTGAGAACGCCAAGGGCGAACCTCGCTCCAAGATCCCCTGGGCTGTGCAGGCAGATCTCACCCCAAACCCACACCTACGGCCCCTTCACGGTCCAGGACCGGGTCCAAGAAGGGGAGTCAGTTTGGTTGGGGGTGTTGGGGTTTTCTGCTTTGTTTGCCAAGCCTCCAATCCGGCCCCCCTGCGACAAGAGACGGGCTTTGCTGACGGATTTCCCCCACCGCCCCGTTTGGGAGAGCAAGTGCCGCCAGTCAGGGCAGCAGCCACAAATTCCCAGGAAACAACCCCGAGTGGCCCAGGGAGACGCCATAAAACACCCCGGAGGCAGAGACAGGAGAAAACAATGGCACAGGACAATGCACCAGATTACTGCTAAATGCCAGGATGAGCCCCATGCACCATTCCCCTGGCCTGCGCCCTGCTCTGGGAGCCTGTGCCGGGGAGAAACGGGGCCCCAGCACGCGGGGACTCTTCCTCTCCCTTGACTGCAGTTTATTCAACAGAGTCACCGAAACCTCCTTCGTGGCAGACACTACACTAAGCACTCGAGTTGGCTCGAACAAAACAGACCAAATCTCTGCCCGTGTGCCGCTAATATTCGTGGTCTCTTAGGTCTCGCCCACTGGAAGGAAGGAAGGAAAGCTAACATTTCTTGGGCCTTTGTGGTGCCTGGATTTTTATAGACTTACCTCAATGGATATGCACAATGACCCCAAGAAGCACCCCCAGGTTATGCTTTAAATAGACAAGGAAACGGGAGGACCACTCAGCATCAGCAGCCAGATGGACTGACAGCTCTTTCCGCAAACCGCAGCCCGGCTCCGCTGTGGCTGCACCGGGCCCTCTGCCTGCAGGGGTTTGGAACCGGCAGTCCAGCCCCTCCACCCAGCCCTTTCTCTGCACTGAACAATAAGGACGAGATGCCCCCCCCCCGAGGTTCTGTAGCAGTCACCCCGACCCTCCCTTTAACCCAGCGCTGATGCTGTATGCCAAGAGCAGCCAGCAGCTGTCATCCAGAGGATTCCAGTGCCACTGTCCGCCCTGCTCGGCATTCCCTTCATCTCCAGTCTCCCTGCAGTTCCAAATCCTCAAGTTCCGTGTTCCTAGCTCATGCCTGCCTCTGGCCCTTGGTGTCCCTGGCGTTTGCACCTCAACTTCCCCCTGAAGGGGTGTCTGCCTGGTCTTCAGCACCCACCTGGTCCCAAGGAGCATTCCCTGGTTGCCTCCATCCTCCCAGCACCCGGTCCCTTCTCTGGTGCCTCACCTGCCCCCCCCAGGAGCAGCTCAGTTCCCTGCCTGGCCCTGGCCCCCGGCACACGGAGTCCAAGGTCACAGGTTCGCCACTGCAGCCCCAGGACTCACCGAAGTTCTCTCCACCCCAGATGTCCATGTCCATGTCGTACTTCCCCAGGTACTCGAACCAGGATTTGTCCATCACGAAGAGCCCTCCTGCTATGACGGGGGTCCTGCGCGCAGAGGAGAACAGGGAGGGCCCGTTATGGGAGGAGACCGTGGTCACATTCTTCTGCACTGGCTGCCCAGGACTCAAGGCCTTTTTCTTACCATTTCTGCTCCTCTTCAGGGAGGCCAATACTTTTCCCAACTCACCTAAGACACAAGGGTGCTCCTGGATTTTTCCTTTGATTATGAATCTCCCGACCTTGCAGACAGGCTAACTTACTCATCGACATACCTCCCATGGGGGCCCAGGACTGGCTCAGAACCCCGGCTGCCCTGAGGGCTGGGGAAGCCTCCACTGGCCTCCACCACGCCCTGCTCAGCATGGCTCTCTGGGGACCTCACTGCGGGAACAGGGCAGTGGGCCGCTGACCAGGCAGAGAAGGGCTGAGTCAGCACCTGTTAACAGTACAGCGTTTTCTGGACACTGGGCTCCTCTCCCTTTTTTCCCCTCTTTACCCCGTTATAGGTTACATCTCCCTAAAAAACACGTAGGGGTCCTAACCACCAGTACCTCAGTATGCGACCTTATTTGGAGAGAGGGCCATTACAGAGGTAAGCAGCTGTAACTGAAGTCATCAGGGCAGTCACAGTGGGCCTGGCAGGGAGACCGCAGAGCAGGACAGAGCCATCCACGGCAGTGCCAGAGCAGCCCGGAGTCCACGTGGCGTGTCCCCCACCCAGCGGAGCAGGTGTGCGTGAGCGGCCGTGGCCGGGCCTGGATGTCAGCCTCCACCTCCCGCGGCGCTGACTCCACCTCCTGGGCTAAGCCCTCTGCTCCTGGCCCTAAGGGACCTTTCCCTCTTGTCAGAGGCTCAGACAGGACCATCTGGGACCCTCCCTCGTTTGCAGGAAGCACAGGTGTGCCACGGCATGTTGTGGGTGGACAGTACGCACTACTCCCCAGCACGGGCCTCCACCGGGCCCCCATCCCCTCAACAGAAGTTTTCACGAGAACGGAAACCTCCTAAAAGGAGGGCAAAGGTGGCGCTGGCCTGGCCAAGGGTCTCCAGGTTCCTGCCCAACCTTCTGAGCGTCTGATGCCGCACGTCGCCCTGTGCCACGTGACAGCAGGAAGGACCCAGTGGAACGAGTCAGCCGCCCTCCTGCCCTGACTCACCTGATGGGCTCGGCGGGGTCCAGGCGCCGGGCCTTCTGCTCCGGGGAAAGCTGCTCCCATTGGAAGTGGAGGCTCCAGTCAAACCCTGAAACACAGCCTCGCTGGGTGGATGGTCTCAGAGGTACCTGCAGAGATTGCTCGTCCTGTCCCTGTTCTAGAAGTTCCTGAATGTACCCAGTTTCCCGCCAATTTCCCTCTCCAGCTTCCTGCCTCTGCCTCCTGCCTCTGCGCCCACTGTGTGGCTGCAGTCAGGACTGAAGGGTGGGGGATGGAGGGTCAGAAGGGACAGAGCCCAAGGGGGACAAGATGGCCAGTTATGGAATGTGGCCCTCGGCCAGGAGCCTCGGGCAGCTGGAAGTAGGAGGTTTGGAGGGGCTGGATCACCCAAAGTCGGTCTCGGGTGGGGGCGGGACCAGGCCTGGCAGAGAGCTGTGGTGGGCTTCGAGGGGACAGTGGTGTCCAGTGCTGCGGTGCCACGTAGCCAGGGGCCTTGCTGCCCTCCCAGTCAGGCCTGGAGTGAGCCCTGCGCTGGAGCAGAGCTCGGGGGCGGGAGCCACCTGCTCTCCCGTCATAAGGGCCACATGGGAGCTCCTGACCTCACAGGGTACAGGGCTGGACGCTCCGGACAAGCCATGAGGAGGGGAGTTTTCCTCCCTTCCCCCTTGTCAGCCATGACCAGGAGACCCAGAAAGTCCTTCTGTGGAGAAGGCGTTACCCCACTCACCCCCACGGAGCTCCGTGGCAGACTCGATGTAGCTGAAGGTGTCCAGGTTGATGATATCAATCACGGGGCACACCACCCGTGTGTAGTCCTGCCAAACAACAGACCCTGCTCAGTGCGCAGTATGGCAGGAATCAGGGAGTTTGGCAGGGCCCCCCTGGCAGTGCCAGAGACTGGTTTTGGGGCCTTGACCAAACACTTTCCTCCCTGTGTCTCAATCTTCTCATCTGTCAAATGGGGCACTGGACACTGTGACCGCTCTAGTTCCGATGCTGCAAATGCTGAGCCTTTCCCTGCCCCCTGGCACAGCGGCCATCCTTGCACGGTGGGGACACAGACACGACGGAGGCACAGACACGGCGGAGGCACAGACATGGCGGAGGCACAGACACGGCGGGGACACAGACACGGCGGAGGCACAGACACGGCGGAGGCACAGACACGGCGGGGACACAGACACGGCGGGGACACAGACACGGCGGAGGCACAGACACGGCGGGGACACAGACACGGTGGAGGCACAGACACGGCGGGGACACAGACACGGCAGAGGCACAGACACGGCGGGGACACAGACACGGCGGGGACACAGACACGGTGGGGACACAGACACGGCGGAGGCACAGACACGGCGGGGACACAGACACGGCAGAGGCACAGACACGGCGGGGACACAGACACGGCAGAAGCACAGACACGGTGGGGACACAGACACGGCGGAGGCACAGACACGGCGGGGACACAGACATGGCAGAAGCACAGACACGGTGGGGACACAGACACGGCAGAGGCACAGACACGGCAGAAGCACAGACACGGTGGGGACACAGACACGGTGGGGACACAGACACGGCGGGGACACAGACACGGCGGAGGCACAGACACGGCGGGGACACAGACATGGCAGAAGCACAGACACGGCGGGGACACAGACACGGCGGGGACACAGACACTGCGGAGGCACAGACACTGCGGAGGCACAGACACGGCGGAGGCACAGACACGGTGGGGACACAGAAACGGCGGAGGTACAGACACGGTGGGGATACAGACACGGCGGAGGCTGGCTGGAGAGGGCTGCACACCCAGAGAGGACATCGGGAAGGAGGGTCCAGAAGTCCTTCACAGTCAGGGGGCACTCAGGAGGCAGAGGACAGGTCAGCTGGGAGGTGACCCCAAGCCTGTAGCACCCAGAAGCAAAGCCACACCCCCACAGTGAGGACCTCTTGGCATTTCCAAACACTTTCATGTTATGCCTGTTTCTCGGCAGGTGATGAGTAGCGTTTCCAGAGATTCCTAACTTCAGTTGTCACCCGTGATACAAATCTGTGCTCCCACCCCGACGTCCCTCCTGGCTTCCAGGCTCATCCAGTGTGCCAGGGGCCACCTGCACGTGGACTCTACACAGCCCTGCCGTGGCGGCCACATCATTCCCTCCATCGCCGTTCCGTTTGCAGAACCACCACATAGCCATCCCACTTCATCCCCGGCACTAGACCGAGACACTCCATCTCTGCCCATCAACCCCAACTGCTCTTCTGAATGAATCCTGCCTCTCCCGTATCCCTCACACGGGGGACTGCCATGGACTCCTCCTCGCCCCTCCCCACCCCCACCTTTCAGTCTATAGGTGGCTGACAAAGTTGTCTTCTGATATGCAAATCTCACTCTGCAGCTCCACAGTTGCAGACTTGAGCTGCCTGGAAGCAAAGGTTCAAACTCCTTAGCCTGGCATCCAAGACCGTCAAAAACAGGCCTGCTTCTAGCTTCCCAGCCTCGTCGCTAGATACCTCCCCCGGCCGCTGTGTCCATGGGCATCAAAATCATCCAGAGGACATTTTCAAAATCTGCAAGGCAAATTCACCACCTCCCAGGGGACACCAAGGCTTTTAGATAGATAGATAGATAGATAGATAGATAGATAGATAGATAGATAGATAGATAGATGATAGATGGATGGTGGATGGATGGATGGTGGATGGACGGATGGTGGATGGATGGATAGACAGACAGATATTTTTAAACAGTCCCTAACTCTGGATGAACACCCTGCACTGTTCAGGTGTGTAGGAGGGAAGCTGAGCTCCCATGGGCAGTGTGGACTAGCCGTGCACACGCAGAGCTGATAGCTAAATAGCATCCAGCCGTGAGGAGAACCAGCCAGGACCAGTGCCCCAGTCCTCCGCACCCACCGCCCCTGGCTGGCACGGTGGGCACCTCTGTTTCTCCTTGCAGCCGTTTAATTTCCTGGCTCACTGCCCCCTCCAAAGGAGGCTGTCTTCTTATTTAAGCTCAGATTCGCCCAGTGCCTGCTTTCACGTCCGCAGATCTAACCTGGCCCTCTGCCTCCACGTGTGACTCATCCTGACCGCGCCAAGGTGCCCCCGAAGCCAACTGGCTCCTGAGGAAAAGATGCTCCCTTCCAGTGCTTGGCTACCACCTCGGGGATGTGCACAGATGCTTCCTTCGTGGTGACACGGCACCGCCCAGCCGCCACTGCCCTCACGCCTCTGAGCGTGTGTACACACTACACACACGGCCGTCCACACAATGTCCACACACAGACACACTCCCAAGGACACGTGGCTTCATGTCTGGAATGTTCTCAGAAGTTCAGAGACCGGCCTTCTGTGGCCTGATAAAAGCCTCACTTTGCTTGCTGAGTTCTCGGGACTCGCAGCCTCACTAGGTGCCGTGTAGACCCTTGTGCAGGGAAGGCTCAGCCTCCCCAAAGGTATGCTTGGCCACTGCCCAGCTCCGTCCAGGCCTCTTCCGAGCCCTTGGACTGTCCCGCCTGTGGGAATATCTCTATTTGAGGGGATCTGGGGCTACGCCAGAGTCCCTGCTAGTGATGTGGTTAGGGTGAGGCCTTGGCCGTGTGGTACCCACTCAACTTGACCTCTGGAGGTGCATGGACACCATGGGGGTGATCAGCCATGTCTATGTGAGCGACCCCCAACAAAAACCCAGGACACCAGGACTCAGGTGGGCTCCCCTGTTTCGCAATACTCTATGCACACTGCCACGCGCCCCGCTGGGAGATGACAGCGCTGGGTCCGGGGACCGGAGCCCTCCCCATGCACCCCTTCCTGTCGCTAATTTTAACCCATATTCTCTCACTGTAACAAACAGCAACCAGGACCGTACAGCTTTGTTACGTCTCAAGTCTTTCCAGTGAATTACTGAACCCGAGGGTGGTCTTGGGGACCACCAAGCTGCATCCGGTTTTAAAAAAGTCTTTCTTCGATATTTGGAAAGTGAAATGCTCACCTCACCCAGGGGCTTCCCCAGAAGCCACATGGGCTCTGCCTCCAGGGCTGGGGCAGGCTCCGACACACTCTCCCTGGAAGTCTGAGGGTTTCTGTCCTGTTATTCCTGTCTCAACCCGGTCACAGCATCTGCCTGGAGGCATGGGGACCAGACAGGCAATGAGAGATGTTTGGGGCTAAGATGTGTGGAGCCATGACCTTGAGAGGGGGCGGCAGGAGACTCCATAAAGGACCCATCGAAACCAGGACACAAATCTCTCTGAGTGACCCTGGGGGTGGTCGGCTGCTGTATCCCTCAGCCCAGCCCAGAGCCTGGTGGGCAGCAGGTGTTCGGTTGGTATTGTCTAGAAGAAGCCTTCTATTTAGTCCTGCTGAGGGCACCGTGTCCATGGCTGGCAGCAAAACAGGTGGACTAATTATAGCTGGGCCTCTCCCCCGGGGGCTCAGGGACGGAGGGGCTCTCCATAAAGACACCCAGGCCCAACACAGGTCCCCATCTGCATGCCCCAGGAGGCTGTATCTTTAAGGTTAGGTCCTTAAATTTATATCAATTTACCAAATGTTACAGGATTGAAATTTCTTAAAAATCCTTCTTCTAGTAAAAAATATGTAGACAAGGAAGAAAAAGAAAGAGGCCTCTGTTTAAAACAACAACAACGTGGCGCTGTTTCAAGCGTCCTCCCGTAACTGGAGGGGAGAGAGGGACACCGAGATGTCCCCTGTGGAGAGCGCCAGCCAAGGACAGCTTCTGACCACGTCAGCCCAGCCTCTTTCTTATCTCTTTTCTATTTTTGAAAATCCTGGACCCCAATTACAGCTTAAAATTTCCATTTCCACTCACAAGATCAAATCACATTTTACTCGGAGGCAAGACACATGCACACACATGGAAACACCGACTGACACCCATCCACACTGTCCCGAAAGGGATGTCAGTCAACCATTCAGTCATCGAGTCAGGGTCTGGCAACAGACTCGGCAGGAGCAGAGCAAGGACCACCGTCTGGGTTTGTCTGACCAGCCCTCTGCTACAAACACTTTAGGTCAGACTGGTGGGGAGCGGGACCTTCGCCTGGGAGGCTGAGCTCAACCTTGGGGTCAGCGCCTCCCAGAGGAGGAGCCCTGGGTGGCAGGTAACACTACAGGCTGGAAGGAGGAGATGCAGGCTTCCCTCGCTTCCAGGTAAGGCTGCACTGATGCAGAAACGAGAACATGTCCCAGAGAGGGCTTCTGAGAGGGCTCAGGCCCCAGGAATGAAAAGGGCCTGGTAAGTCATTAAAGCAAAGCCCTCTTAGCACATCCTGCAGGGACACGTCAGCCTGAGGGATCCTATAGGTCAACACTGAGTTACCACAACCCAGCAATTCCACTCCTCGGTATATACCTGCAAAGAACTGGAAGCAGATGCTCAAACCAAAACTGCACACCAGTGTTTGAGCAGCACTGGTCACAATAGTTCAAACGGGGAAACAACACAAGTGTCCATCAGCGGATGAATGGATAAACTAAATGTGGTATACACTGTGATGATGTGATATGATAAGAAATATATATTTGGCCTTTGTTCCTGGGTCATCCCACAGAGCTACTAAAACCCTTGTAACTCCCTGAGCATCCTCAGGCGTATTTATAACCATTTGTGGGCCATACAAAATTATCCACTTAAAAATTAGCCTGCTGTGTTTGGTCAGGCTAATTTGGTGAGGCCTGTGATGTTAGCCGGCGCTGATTTCGAGAGCCTCGTGCATCCCCCACCCCAGAGAGGCAGGAAGTGAGCCCTGGGTCCTTCCTCTGCTACACCTTATCACCTCCCCATTGCATCTGGCTTCTCAGTGTCATTTCTGAACACCAAGCACCTACTCTACAATAGGCCAGGTGACCACACGAAGGTGACTGGTGCCCCCAACAGGTTGTACTCTGTTAGGGGAGACAGAACTAAACCCAGAAAGGCAACTGCAGGGCCAGGGGGCAGCTCATGCCTGGGGGATCCCAGAGGACCAGGCAGTCAGGAACGGCCTCCGGAGGAGGGGTGATACAGAAGTTTGCACAGAGGAGGAGAAGGGCCTCCAGGGACAGGGGGGGTGGGGGGGCGTGGGCAGAGATGGACTGGCAGGAACTGGGGGGCACGTTCAGAGAGAAGGAGCACCCCCTGTGAGACTGGGAGACAGCACTGTGGCTGCACTCAGCCCCGGGGGTGGACAGGATTCGCAAGGGGGTTTGATTTGGGGGAATAGATAATAATGATGGAAAAATTCCTAAATTTTTTAAAGAATAATAACTGAGACATGGAGAGAGAAAGAATAGAAAATTCTAGAGTCATTTAAGGACAGACAGAAGCAAGGACTCCAGGTCTCAGCAGCCAGTCTCCCTGCCTTGGCCACTGGGTGAGGGTGGAGGCAAGACCCACAGACAGGCGACGAGGCTCCTTCTACTGCCTCCTTCTCACACAGGCACTCCTCAGGGCCCTGCCGGGCCGTCCACTGTCTGGGAGAAATAGGCTGGGCACTCTGTTCTCCAGCCCAGGAAGCCGAGTGACGTGTCCCAGCGGCTGGCGCCCCTGCCTGCAGTCCTGCTGCGGTGGCAGGCGACACAGAGAACAGGCCCCGGGCCTTGGTCCACCACTGCCTGCTGCATGACCCTGGGCAGGCTCTACCTCAGTTTCCCCGTCTATGAAATAGGAACAGCAATCTGTCCCATCATCCCCCAGAGGGACCGGGGGCAGAGCATGCAGAAAGTGGGGGCAGGGGACCCCTGCTCCTCGGAGCCTCGCTCACCTCCTTGACCCTGTGCAGCAGTGGCTGGAGCCAGTCCCTGTTCACCTCACAGTGGCTGTCCAGGAAAGTCAGGGTGGTGCCCTGGGCAACATCGGCGCCCCGGATCCGGGACCGGACCAGGCCTGCAGCAGGGACAAACGGCCAGGTGGGTGCCCCTGTGTCTCCATCTGCTAACAGGCTCACCGAGGAACCGCTCGGCATTCTCCCCACACATGGAACACACCCCCAGACACACCCCCACACAACACCAACCCCCCACACCCCAGGTCCATCCAGCTGCAAGACCTACCTAGCCGCTGGTTATTGCGTAAGCATTTCACCTTGGGCAGCTTGATGAGCTCTTTGCAGTCCCCAGCTGCAAAAACAACAGGTTATGTGAAGAGAGCCCCTGGGGACGGAGGAGACCCCGAAGAGTAAGGCAGTCCTGCCTGCCACCCCCTGCCCCGCCGGCTGCAGAGCCCTGCCCTGACTCGCGGGTCCCTGCGGCCTCTGGAAGGGGCTATCATGTATGATGTGGCCCAGTCCAGGCAGAGTGGCTCAAGGGGCCTCTCCCGAGCAGGTCGGTCAGAGCGGCACACGCAGACTTGCTGGAAAACATTTCCATAAGGAATTCTGGGCATGGCCACCTGGGACATTGCTCCTTTCCTCCAGATCACTCAAACATGATACAAGAGTGGTATCCACTTTAGTGGGGTCTGGTGGGAACTGCTGGGTGGCCAGAGAATGAGTGAGATGGATTTTGGATTTTCCTTTCAGACCGCTTACACTGAGACCCTATTTGTTAAGGGATCTGTCCAGAGTGTCACCTATCGCACAGAGCTGGTCCAACTTCCCACCACGCAGGAAAATGTGCCAGGATGCCAGGATGGGCAGGGGACCCCGCTCTGGCGTCTGCCTGGGGCCGTCCTCCAGCTGCCTGCTGCCAGCACTCCGCTGGCTCGCCGTCCTTGGCTCTGAACTCTGCATCGTGATCCCGCCACGCTGCTGTGGCTTCATCTGTTTACCAACCTTGGCCTCTCTGCCTGGCTCGGGCTCTGCTGCGGCTCGGCCAAGGCTCACAGAGCTTGCTGGGGCCAGGTGCTGTTCTAAGCGCTTTGAATGTATTAACATATTTAAACCTTATATAAACCATATCTATTATTATCTCCTTTTTATACTGAAGGAAACTGAGACACATTGAGGTTTATAATTGCCCAAGGTACTTACCTAGTAAGAGTGACAGGTCTAGGATTTGAAGCCAGGCAGTCTGGCTCCAGAGTCTGTGCTCTAACCACCAGGCTATTCTGCCTCTAAGTGAATCTAGCAGCAGGCCCTTCTCAAGCCTCAGTGCCAGGCTACCTCCCAGCAGGACCAGTGCCTCCCCACCTCCAACCCCCTTCCTCACGAGGGAAAGGAGGTCCGATCACTGACATTCAGCACTCAGGTCCCGTATGCATTACTTCCAAGGCTCCGAGGCTCTGTCACGGGCCAGTATGGTAGTGGCTCCTATACCCTGCCTCCAGCATCAGCACGGGCAGGGACAGGCTCCCCTCTCCCGGACCTGGAGCTGTCCCCAGTGGCCCTCGCCTGCTTCCCCTCGTTGGTCACTGGGAAGGGGCGTCTGGGTGTCTTGACGGCCTGCTGTATCCACGGCCCTCAGAAGAGGGGTTAGTGCTGCCAACACTTGAAGTCTAACAGTGCTTCTGCAAGGACTGAACCTGTCAAACTGAACTCACAGATGTCTGAAAACACCTGCAGGCTTTTCCTGGGGAAAGCGGATCTGGAGTGTGAATCTGGGTGGGACCCAGGTTCTTTAATACAACTAGGAAACAGCAATGACCAGTGGGTTGCAGGGTTGGAAGGCAGCCGCTCACTGTGTCACGGCCAGGTGATGGGATGTCCCACTGGGGATCCCAAAGGCAGAGCCCACCCAGTCCTCCAATAGGAATGAAAGGGGGAGGGTGTGCTAGCCTCAGCTCAGGCTAGATGATCACAGCATCCAGACAGAAAGCTTTGGTGACGACCTTGCTAGGCTGACTTAGTTGGGCTTATAACATAACAAGATGTAATGTACATGACAAAAAAAAAGAATGAAAGAAATCTTTGGTGATATAACTGCTTCTGGGCTCTGGGCTCTGGGTCAATCCTTTGAGGGTTCAGTTCCCATGTCCAAGAATGTAGGTCAAGGAGCAGTGACGCACACGCATACACACACCAACCAATCAACAATCTACTAAACTCACCCGCATAGGTCCTCAAAGACTCATAGCAGAGAACCCAGGAAATTGTTTTATACAGGCAAGGCTGATGTCCTTCTTGAGCCCACGTGGACATTCAAAGTCTCATTCCTACAATAAACCTAGGCTTTCCTCCATCCCCAGAGACCCCAGGGCTGGCCTCTGCCTGTTACTCAGGGGCTGGGACAGACACTGTGTCTACAGAGCAAAGGAGCATGTTACTTACGGTCATTGCTGAAGTCATCAACTAATATGATTTCCTGGATCAGATTCATGGGGGTGCGGTTTAATACGCTGAGAGATGGAAAGAGGAAAGAGCATTATGTCTTCTAATGGCAAATATATGTATTAAATTGAGTTTTTAATAGCCACCATTGCATCTGAGGAATAAAAACTAGGAGCAGCCAGAGGGCTTGTCCAGGCCCACTACTCCCCTGTGACCCCTGGCACAGAACTCGGTGTTAGTGATGAATGCTCCCCCCGCCCCCGCCCCCCCCCCCCAAACCAAGTCAAACAGAGGAGTCATCCTCATCAACTCTCCCTCTTCCTGAAACCCCACATCAGATCAGTGACCAAGACTGGCTGTTTCGACTTGAAAATGTCATTCAAATCACCTTCAGCTCTTGTACCCGCTCCAACCTCTTGTGCAGTTATTACAGCAGCCTCGACCTTTCCAGGCTGTCCTCCTGTGGCCTGCCAGTGAGCTTTCTGAAGCCCAGATCTGATCTCTGATTGTATGGCTTCCCTCACTGATCAAATAAATAATTTGACAAAACCCCTCCGTGGCTCCCCACTCTCTACACCCCAAACCCTCAGCATGCCCTCCAAGGCCTGTCACAGTCTGGAGCCAGCCCGGGGCCAGCCTGCTCACACCCAGCACCGTTATCTGGGGACGGCCTGCTCCTCTCAGCTGGAAACGCCGTCCTCTGCCGCCAGGACCAGTTCAGAGGTCACTTCCTCTCGTGAACTGCCCCCTCCGCTGGGTCCCTCAGCGGTTTGCCCCGGACGCCGCCTGCGGCTTCCACGTGTCCCTGGTCACATCCTCGTCAGGTTAGCTCTGCACTGCCGCAGTCCAGCACGGCCCCTGGCCCTTAGCCACCCTCCAGGGACACTTAGTGCACACCTACTTTGTACTTGGCACTGGGTGTGTGGTGAGGATCAAAGGACAGGAGCTCTGCCTCCCAAAAGCAGGTGGTCTAGCAGTTGCTTACTACAAGCTGTGTGATCCTGGGGAAGTTACTTTACTGTTCTGTGCAGCAAAGTATCTCCATCTATAAAATGGGGATAATAGTAGTAGTCGCCACTTCACAGGCTGTGGGGGGAATTAGAGGGGAAAATGTATCTGAAGCATTTAGCAGGATGTCTGTCGCTGAATGATGAAATGCGGTAACAATTATTACTATGTTGTGCAGCATGAGGGTGCTTTGAATTGACTTCATTTACCCTCCTGTGCTGTGCATCTAGCTCCCCAGGGCAAAGCTGGGTTGTGCAGTTCACTCTGGGTGTCAGGCCTGACTGAAGTGGCTGGATCCCACTTCTCCTGAATGCCCCCAAACCGTGTGGTTCCTCATAAGCATTCCTGGGCCCACCGCCCACCAGGGATGCCCAGTGTTTTTTGGGGGGGAGTCTAGAGGGGTGCTGGCCGAGGTGCTGCATGCACCCCTCCTCGCGGGAGGGCCATTCTGAGCCCTGTTTCTGGTGAGCCACCTTTCCAAGCAGGCTGCAGAGACTCTCCAGGAGCAGAACCTCGCCTGGAGCTACCTTTATTTATGAAGCCTTAATTCTCACCATGGCAACGGGTGTCAGGCAGAGAGAGGAACCCCAACACAAGCCTTGAGCCCGCTGTTGCGAGGTGGGAACCAGGAGGGCGGAAGGTGGTGGGAGGAGACCCTCACCATCTCACCACGATCTTCAGAGAGAAAACACAGGCAAACTCAACCACCAGCCCTCTAATCAGAGAGGGAGGGGGCGAGGGAGGCAGGAAGAGGGGCAACCTGCTTGAAGAATACCCTCTAATGAGGTTTGATTATGCCAGCAGCTTCTGCATGCGATTCCTCAAATCCCTGCTGGCTCTTTGAAATTCAAGAGTTCTCTTCTGCGAACATCAGAAGGTAAATCGTGTGTGGTTCTGCACTGGTTGAACTGAGAGATGATTAGTGGAATAAAAAATGTCCAGGGTTTAGAAAAGGAAAAAAAAAAAAAAGGAAATCGTCAGCAGTAAGTGCTAATTAGACCATTTCCTGGTAACACCTGGCTTGTTTTTGCTCTTCTAATCACAGCAATTGGAGTGATGGGGGGGTGCTCGGGCTCCTGGGTGGCCAGTGAAGGAGAAAGGTCCAGGCCAGCCCAGGGGGCCCTCCTTTCTACACACACACCCTCTATTCCCCCCCCCCCCCAGCTCTGGCTGCTCAGGTATCCCTCCCTCCTTTGCTCCCATCACTTCTTGGGCCAGCACACCTCACCAGCCCCCTCCACAGCAGAGCCAGCCCTCCCCTCCCTAGGGCCCGCTGAGCACATGCTTTTCCCTCCTTCAGTCCCTGGGGCTGTCCCATGCCTCCCTGACGCAGCCTCAGCACGGGAGTGAGTGCTCACGTCACTGGCATATCCAGGTCACACTGTGCCTGGCAATTATTGCATAACCGAGTCTCCTCTACACGTCTCAGCTCTGCCGAGGATCGCTGTGCAGGCTGAACTTCCTGCGTCCTGCCTGCTGCCCTCACCCGGAGCCCACACGCAGCACGTGGAGAGGAGACGGCACGGCGGCGTGGGCAGCGTGGGAGGCCGAGGGCCTCCACCGCCTCCTCGCTGCGCAGTCCTGCACGAGACGCCGGGCCGCCCTCCTTGCCAGCTGTAATTACCTTTTCCTTGTAAAGGCAGGCCGTATTAATACTTGACCTACTTCCCAGGCTTTTGTGCGTATGAAATGAGAAAATGTACTTGAAATTGCTTTGCGAACTCCCCGGTCTATACGCAGGCAGGGTTTATCAAAAGCGCCATAAATACCCGCTGAAGGAAGGCCCAGGCTGGCTGAGGAGGTGGCGTGTTCGGGGGCAGGCTGCTCGTGCTGGGGCACTGAGCCTGTGCAGCCTCCAGTCACCAGCGGGAGAGCGTCAGCCAGGACCGAGCCCCAGCACCACAACTTCCTCGGGCACAAAGGCGCTTGGCGCTGGGCCTGGTGCACGGTGGCTGCTCTTGGGATCTGAGTATTGATAATCGTGACAGTGGTTCTCAAAGTGTGATCCCAGAGCCGGCAGCTTCAACGTCACCGGGGGCCCCACCCGAGACTTACTGAGCTGGGGATGGGGCCCAAGAACCCATGTTTAACAAGCCCTCCAGGAGACTCACACCTGCTGGAGTTTGCGGCTGCCTCAGACACTGCTGCCCGCCCGCCCGAGACACACACCTGTGCTCACCTGTGCAGGCTCAAATGTACCAGGTATCATTTCAGGGCCTTCCCCTACCTGAGCTCATTCACTCCTCCACAACCATGCAAAGGAGTGACTACCAGTAGTCCTTGTTTTTACAGAAAAGGAAACTGAGGCAGAGAGATGAAGGCGCTTAGCCAGGGTCACACAGTTTATAAGAGCAGAGCAGGCAAGTTGAGCCCCAGAGTCCAATTTCTTAACCACCTTCACCTGAGAAATTGCTCCTCTAAATCTAGGGCTTTACAGAAAAGCAACAGTAAAGAGACTCTGGGTATAAAGTATCAATTGTTCAGGCTCCGGAGCCCCACGGGAGGTGTAGAGCCAAAGGATGCCCCCGAAGGAAGGGACCAACATTGGGGTTCACATATACGCAGGGACCCACTGCAACTCCAAAGATAAACCATTTTGTGGGGCTTTGTCTCTCTCTCCTTAAGTGAGAAAAGGCCCCCAGTTCGCCCAGGTTGTGATTCTCTCTCCTTCTCCCCTCACCTCCCCGTTGGGCCTCTGCCGGACCGAGGGCCCCCACGTGGGCCTGCCCAGCCCCGCCCTGCCCTGCAGCTAACTCAGGAGCTCAGGGCTCAGAGGACGTGGGCGGGATGAGCAGAGCCAGAGGCCTGGCCGGCGCTGGGCAGGAGGAGGAGAGGGACAGTCCTCCCCACTTCGAGCATCGGTCCCTTTCCAGGGCCTGACAGCAGAGCCATCAGAGTTCTCGAACATTCAAGACGAAAACTACCTTGGAGACGACCCTCTCATCAATGGTGAAGTGATAGGAAGTGCTTCTCGCTCAGTCCCCTCTCAGTGGTGACTTATTTGTGTGACAGGGCAGGGGGTGGAGGGAGGGACAGAATCCCAAGGCAATGATACCTGACCATGGAAGTTTCTAGAAACAATTCTCCTTGCCTAAAATTCGCTTCCCTCCAGGCTGCTGCTGATGCAAACACACATCTGTTCACACATGGCTCCCAGGCCCCCCCATTCTGTTGTTTTTGCGCATTACACCTGGGCCTGCGCAGGGGGCCTGGCTACGTGGGAATGTCCTGGGAGGCAGGACACGGGGCCCCAGGCTCTCTCAGCAAAATGCCAGCAACGTGGTGTGGGGCCTGGCAGCTCACGGGTACCTTCTGAAAAGTACGTTGATGGGCCCAGGCCCCTCCCAGAGTGCAGGGCACCAGGGCCTCAGAGACAGACCTCCAGGCTAGAGGCCAGAGGCTCTGGGGCCACCGCCCTGGCTGCCCCCCACTTCCACACAGGAAGTGAGGAACCTGAGTCCTAGTTCCGCTGCTTCCTGGCCTGTCGTGGGTCTTGTCCTCCCTTCACCACATGCACCCAAACTTCACAGACTCCACAGTGAGGTGTTCTGTAGGCTGAAAGCTCAGCATGTGTTCAACATGTTAATATTATTAGAAAGTATCACTGCCTTGGCCGGTTTGGCTCAGTGGTTAAAGCGTCGGCCTGCGGTCCGGAGAGACCCGGGTTCGGTTCCCGCTAAGGGCATGTACCTCGGTTGCAGTTTGTCCCCGGCCCTGGTTGGTCGTGCGGGTGGCAGCCACTCGATGTGTCCCTTTCACATTGATGTTTCTCTCTCTCTCTCTCCCTCCGGCTCTATCTGAACAAAGAATGAAAAAGTGTCCTCGGGTGAGGATAAAATAAATAAATAAATAAATAAATAAATAAATAAATAAATAAATAAATAAATAAATAAATAAATAAAAGAAAGTATCATTGCTACTATTATGCAGAGATGGAGGAGCAGCTGGAAGAGAAGAAATATGTCTTGGAGACAAAAGGGTGGCAGCTAAAGTGCCCCCAAGAAAATAAACATTTTGGGGGGAAGCCTGGGGCCTCCATATTATAACACCCCCACCATGTTTCTGAGATATTCCCAAGAAGATTTATTGTGGGAAATGTGACAAAACTAGAAACATCTAATATACTTTCTTCACTGGCTTTACAGATGTGGTTAGTGACCTGCCCAAGGTCACAAGGCTAGGAAGTGGTAGGACAGGGACTTGACCCCAGGTCCTCAGACTCCAAGTTCTCTTTAAGTACCTCTAAGCCTCTTGCCATTTGAGTGCTCACTAGATGTGCAGATACAGGGGTGGCTAGCGTTGACCAAATCTTTACTCTGTGCTGGCAAAGATCTCAGTGGTGGTGAGTGACCATGAGCGTGTGTGTGTGTGTGTGTGTGTGTGTGTGACCGACCATGAGTGCGCATGTGTGTGACCATGAGCGTGTGTGTGTTTGTGTGTGTGAGTGACCATGAGCGTGTGTGTGTGATCATGAGCATGTGTGTGACCATGAGTGTGTGTGTGACCATGAGCATATGTGTGTTTGTGTGTGTGTGAGTGACCATGAGCGTGTGTGTGTGTGAGTGACCATGAGCTAGTGTGTGAGTGACCATGAGCGTGTGTGTGTGTGTGACCATGAGAATGTGTGTGACCACGAGCGTGTGTGTGTGACCATGAGCGTGTATGTGTTTGTGTGTGTGTGTGAGTGACCATGAGCGTGTGTGAGTGGCCATGAGTGTGTGTGAGTGACCATGAGCGTGTGTGTGTGTGACCATGAGCGTGTGTGTGTGTGTGAGTGACCATGAGCTAGTGTGTGAGTGACCATGAGCATGTGTGTGTGTGTGACCATGAGAATGTGTGTGACCATGAGCGTGTGTGTGTGACCATGAGCGTGTATGTGTTTGTGTGTGTGTGTGAGTGACCATGAGCGTGTGTGAGTGACCATGAGTGTGTATGTGTGTGACCATGAGCGTGTGTGTGTGTGTGTGACCATGAGCGTGTGTGTGTGACCATGAGCGTGTGTGTGTGTTGAGGGGACAGAGGCGCATGGCATCAGAAGACTCCCTGAAGGAGGAGAGACCAGCCTGGAAGGCAAGGAGCTTCTCTCGGATGGTACGTGGGAACATCTGGTAGACATGCCCAAACACGTCCTCGTGTGGTGGGGCTGTGGCTGGCACTTTGGAACCCATACCTCTGCCTCCGTGTGCCTGCTCAGCCTGCAAGGTGCCAAACTGTTCTCCCTTCACCAGAACAGACACAGGTAAATGGGACCACCCCTGACCCTGTCCCCCGACACATGCACCCTGGTTTACAAATCAATCAGAAAGGTACATTATTGGACTATGAGACTCACAGTGACACCTGACATGACTCGGCACATTTCAAAAGCTGAAGCCTCGTTGGGAAATCAAATTCAAGGCGGGAGGCTTGTGGGGTGAATACAGAAGCCAGGGCAGACAGGGTGATCGGCTGGTGCACAGACCCAGCCAGCCAGTCTCCATCTGGGCAGCAGACAGAGCTGCCGCCGTGGACAGAGCAAAACGCAGGGCTGAAGCCTGAGTGTTTGGGCAGGTCCCTCCCTACATTCCTAAGGCATGCACTGACCCTGCACAGGGGACACTCATCATGAGTGACAGGTGTCAAAGAAGACTTGATGCCCTCCATCAAGGGGACCCGACTGCTGACTCCCTCCTGCCCACAGCCGTGCAGGTGCGGCAGGAAGAGAGGGAAGGTGTGGCTTGTTGATGGAAATGACGAGAGACTGCTGTGCATGGCTGCCCTCTCCTTGGCCCACATCTAACCTCACCCCCCTCTCTGCAGGATTGGGAGACCAGGTGATGTGAGTCTAGTGGATCTTACTGGAGGCGTGGCTGGCACACCTCTGGCCCCGACACCACCCCCATGCAACTAGCCTGGTCCTACTGAGGCTGCTGAGGACTCGGGTCAGAGTGCGAGGGTCCCAGCCCTGCTTCCCTGTTGTTAGCTGAGCAACAGGAGGCCTGTCTCAGCCTCAGCTGTCACGTGGGCACCACGCTGGCCTCCCACCTCCCCAGCTGAGAGCATGAACCGAGGTGTCTACACGCAAGGGCACCTAGGGTCTGGTGGCTGCTGTGACCACCATCCAAGAGGCCTATGTGGCTAGAGACCTGACTGACAGAAGGGAGGGCCAAATGGTCTTGCAGAAAAGGGGGTTTGGAGGAGGGGCCTCCGGAGGAGAGGAAGGGGCATGGCACAGAGAAGGGGAGCCAGAGCGACCAGGTCTTCTGAGAACCTGGGCAAAAACTCCCGGCCAACTTTCCGGGGCCTATCTGCGTTTGCAGGGGTGCTCTGCTGGGCCGATACTGGGACTTTTGCATGTGAAAAATGCATGCAGGCCACAGGCCATACAAGCAAGGACCTACCTATTAGAGCAATGGCATGACCCAGAGTAGCCGCTGAGCGTGGATGAGAGGCCCAGGAGGGAACAGGGCTAAACAGTGGTGGCCGAGAGAGCAAACATCAGCCATTACCCTCAGGCTGCTCCGAGCTGCACCATGGGCCCTGGCGGGTGTGGGAGGCTGTGGAGACGCAGGTGCTGGGATGGGCAGCACTCGGCAGACCCGCGTTCTAATCCTGGCCTGATGCTGGGAGAGGGGTACGTACTCACCCTCTCAGGGCCTCAGCTCCCTTGTGAGCCGAGATTAGAACTCGTGTTCCAGACGCAGTCTGCACAGTGGTCAACGGCAGGCCTCTGCTAGGCCCTCTAGGGCTCTCAGGGACCTTCTGCAAGTTCCCCACACCTCAGGCCTGTCTTTCCCTATGAAATGGGAGATGTGAGCAGCAACCGAGTGGATGCATGTGGAGTGTGTGAACAGTGCCTGGCAGGTGGTTAGAATGCCTGATGCGCATCACGAGGCCAGGCCCCCAGCAAGCAAACAAGGCCTCGCCAAGTGCTGCCCCGCAGCGTGGCGGACCTGGAAGGATGTCTTACCTGCGGATGGTCCTGAGCAGCGTGGAGCGGGCCTCGTTGTGGAAGGTGATGATGATGCTGGTGGGAGGGAGGTCCCTGCAATACATCAGCAGGGTGCATCTGGGGAAGAAAAGGCAGGAGACCGCTAAGACCTTTGGGGACAAAGCAGACGTCAGGGGCTGGAGCCACGGGCATCGTGGTGATCACCAGCCTGGGCAGATGGCCTGGCATCCGAGGGAGCCGCACTATCCGCACAGTCCCAGGCAAGACCCCAGGGCCTCCGAGAAAGGCTGAAGCTCATTTCCCACCACCTTGGGGGAATGTGGGCTTGCAGCCAAATTAAGTTGAGATTCAGAACATTGATGCGGGATTTCTGCACAAACCCGCCCCCAATTGTGGGCTCTGCTCCCCAGTCTGTGCCCGTCCAGCTGGCAGAGGCTGCACATAGCTCGGCCAGCAGCTCCAGCCCACCACACCACGTGACCCCAACCTCCTGCCCCACACACCAATATTGAGCATGTTTAAAGAGACACAGCCCCCAAACCCTGACATAAAAATAAAACCCCATCTTGAAAAAGCACTTGTCTCCACGTGTCCAGGATCATTTCCTAGGACAACTACATCTGGGGTACTTTCAAGTTAATACCTTGCTGCAGGGAAAACTGTAGCCCGAAGCCTGAAAATCACTGTAATAATGAAAATCGACCTGCTGAGGGGGGCTGGTGCCACCCGGGGCTGTCCCCAAGTAAACGCTGCCACTGTCCAATTACAGGGAGGGGCGTCACACAAGGAAGTAAATAACAGAAGTTTGGTGAGTCAAACATTTCTCTTCATATCCCGATTTCTTCCTAGGTTTTTAATTGGGGGGCCAGAAACCCACGGATGGACCTCAAGGGGACCGTGAGCCCTCTGAAATTGTTTGCGAAGCTGTGTATGCAAATGTGCTTTTCCCCTCCCCCTGGAAGACGGTTTATAGTTTTATGTAGATTTCTAAAGACGTCTGTGGCCTAAAATACTTAAGAACCTCATTCCTAGGCCAGTGGGCCTGACATCCCTTTGACCTCACTGATAATTCTGAACACTTTTTCCTACGAGAGCAAAGACTGAATAAGAGAACTTATTTCGAAAAAGTTGGGCTCTGCTCAGGACCAGAGCACAGGCTGGGCTCCGGTCATCCAGCAGGAGCCAAGCATTAGGAAGGGGAAGCCTCAGGGGAAGGGACAGTAGAAGAGGCAAATCATGACCTTCAGGCCTTTCTGTGCTCACCCCCAAGAGACAAGGTCTCACCACATCCTGCCTGCTCTACCTCCCAAAAAATGCCCCTGAATCTATCCTCTCTGGTCCCATGGCTGTCCTGTGACAGCATCCTGACCAGTGCTCCTGCCTCCAGCTTCTGCGCCTGCCAGTCCTGTCCACCACACAGCTCTGCCCAAGCCTTCCTCTGGCTTGGAGCCCTGCAGTGGTCCTGATGTACCAAGGCCAATCCGCCTACCACCGCCTTCAAGGCCTTTCATAATTGCTCCTTAGCACTTCCATAACTCTATTACTTCTGCATGAAGCAATATCCTTCCTCCTTTCTCTGCCTGATGAGCTCCTACTCATCCTTCAAGACCCAGAGCAAATGTCCCCTCTGCAGTGATGGTATCCCCTACTCTCCCAGATAGGTAATGACCTGTCCTTTGTGCTGCCATAACTCTATATATCTCTTTTAGAACTTCTCGAGATGGGACTGTCTCCCCTGCTTGACTATGAGTTCCTCTAGGGAAGGACTCTTGTCCATCTCCATATCCCTAGAATAGGAATTCAGTGTACCAGATGCCCATCCACAGAGAAAGGGAGAAAGAAATTCAGGAAATGCATTCCTAGGTCAGCTGACGACTTAGCCAAGAGGTGTGGTAGTCGGCCTCCCAGATGCTTCCAGCGATTCTCACCTACTGGTCCTCAAGCCTTGTGTAGCTCTGTCTCTCCCTGAATCAGGGCTAGCTTAGCTGACCAACAGAATAGGATGGGAAGTGACAGGGTGCAACTTCCAAGGCCAAGTCATAAAAACATTGCAGGCTCTGCCTTGACCACTTGGAGGAGAGCCAGCTACCACGCCATGGGGACACTCAGGCGGTGCTGTGGAGAGAGGCCCCCTGCAGAGGAACGGAGGCCCGCCGCCGGCACCCAGCTGCCCAGCTCATGAATGACCAGCCTGGAAGTGATTCTGCCAGCTCCAGTCAAGCCCACATATGACAGCGGCTCCAGGGGGCTCCAAGCCAGAATCACTCGGCCAAGATGCTCTGATTTCTGACCCACAAAGACTATGAAGATAATCAATGATCCCCATTATTTTAAGCCACTAAGTTTGGGGGGGTAATTTGTTGTACATTAGATAACCAATATAAAAAGGGACGGAAAATGTCGTGAAATGGCCCCCAAAGAGACGAGGCCTTGGACTCCCCTGTCTTTGGACACAGATCTGAGTCTGGGTCGGGAGCAGTGGGGAGGGAGGAGGGCAGGTCGAGGTGGATTTGGGAGGACCCTTGGTTGGTGTGCTGCAGGGCTACGAGGACACGGAGCGAGGGGCCAGTGGCCATGCGCGCGGTCAGCACGTTTCCAGGAGGTAGCACAGCTGGGAACGAAGCAGACCTGTCTCCATCAGAGCCAGGGAGGAAGAGGAGACCACACAGAGTGACCCAGAAAGTCACCACTGCCAGGGCTATGCCAAGGGTCAGGCTCTGGGCACTGCCCTGGAGACGGTTTCCACCCCCCACACTGGTGTGGGTACAATGGAACCCCCAAACCCCAGCTTTTGTGATATAAGTTATTCAGGGGCAAGGAGGTGTGGGAGGGTGGTACTGGGACTCAGTCATTTAGAGAGCTTTTGGGGACACTGTTCCTGCCTTGAGACATCCAGCGAGGAGACGGGATATTAGCCCCCAGGGGTATGGCAGCATGCACACCCTCGGAGCTGGGAGAGCAGACAGGTGGCCATGACTCCGCCTGGGAGGTGCAGACGGCTTCCTGGAGGAGGAGGAGCAGCTGGATGTCACAGGATGGGGTTCAGATGGACAGATGGAGAACGGGGTGCAGCATCCGAGTCATAGCACAGTTCTGGCCTGCAAGCTGAGTGCAGTGGGGCTGCTCATGCTACACTGGCACAAGCGTCCAGACGCCACTGACCAGCCGTGGACCGCAGCAGACCACCCGCCTCTCCGGGCCGCCGTGTGCTCATCTGCAAGACAGCTCTCTGCTAACGTTCTCACAGCATCGGTAATCAAAAGCTTTGGTTACAGCTTACATTCAACAGCCTGGTTGACTTGAATGCAATGTCACAAATATTCTGCAGCTGAGGCTCAAGTGTGTGGTCGGACATCCAAATTTACTTTTCTAAGCCTCCGTTTCTTCATCTGGAAGGTGGAGACAATTTTTAAATTGTGGATATCCTAGATTATTAATAGATGCCTGACAAATAGTAACTCACTACTTTTAGCATCAAGTTCAAATCTGAAGACTCCTCCTCCACTGGGTGGAGCTAGATCTCCCATGGGCTGGAAAGGTGGCTTTGGTGAGTGGTCTGGCGGGTGCAACAGTGGGTGAGGGTGCTGAGAGGCTAGAGAAACAGGAGAGAGCAAAGGAGGTAGCATCAGTGTCAGAGAAAGGAACCTGCGATGTGATGTCCATTTGAATCCTGGAATTGCCGGACACTGGCTGTGTGCCCTTGGTCCTGTTGTTTACCTTCTCTGAGCCTCAATGTTGTCACCTGTAAAACGTGGATAATACCTCCCTTCCGAGCTTGTTCTGAAGACCTCAGATACTGCAGGCAAAAAAACACCTGGCGTTTCACAAATGCTGAGTAAATGGCAGCTGGAATTATTCTCACGACTGAGGCTGAACCAGCCTCCTTGCAATGTCAGTACTTCTGAACGAGAACCAAAACTCACCGTTCAGAAGAGGAAGGGGCTTCGGAGAAGGCCCAGTCCAATCTTCTACACTGGGTAGAAGTCTGTGGCATCACGGGTAGCATTGTGCTCCTGGCCTCAGCCCCCCCAGCCTCCTGTGCCAGAGCACGGGGCTCTTCCTCCAGGCCGGGCGGGGGTCCTGTAAGCACCCCGAGCATGCTCAGGCTTTGGGAGAGCACAGGGCGAAGTCTCAGACCTCAAAGGTGCAGGCATCCTGGCTCATGGGACTTGGTACTATTTGCCATCTGCCCCTGCTCACAGGTCACAGTACCTGGAGTCATCCTTGGTCTCATCTGACTGTCCTGACAGCCTCTGAGAACCTCGATTCCACAGGTGAGGACAGCCGAGGCTCAGAATCTTGCGCAAGGTCACACACCTGCAGAGTGACTGAGATGAGCTGAACCCAGGTCCCGTGACTTCTCACCTGGCGCGTGTCCCTAGTGCCCCACTGTGAACTCACCCTGGTTAAGGCAGAGGAGGTGGAGGGGCTGGTGCTGGGTGGGACCCCCTGCCTGAGCCCTGTGCACGCGCCCTCTGCCCTCCAGGGCCCAGGGTGGGCGATAGCCCTGCCTAGAGATGAGCGCTGGACACAGGCAGCAACAAAGCCAAGGGCCGAGAAAAATCCTTAAAACTGGACCCAGTGAGAAGGGTCAGCTTTCTGTGAGAGCAATCTAAAAGATTAATCAAACAGCAAGATCTATTAGGGACACGAGGGGAATGAAAACGGCTGCCGACACTGAGATCTGGCGCCGGCAGACAGACCAGAAAGCATGTTCATAATTTATTAAAGGCCCCGGGGTTTGACTGGAGAGAAGAGCGAGTGAGCAGGAAAGGTGGGCATGGGGTGGATCCAGGAGGAAGGCGGGGCCACCGCTGTGTTGAGAGACAGACGCCAGCCCCGGGCTGCCGTCCCCACGGCCACAGGAGCTCCTGAATAATGCACGCTCCTCGGAGCCGACTTTCCACTTGCGGTTTCTTTTTATCCTTTAAAGAAAGATTCTACTAAGACTCTTGATTTTTCTAAGTTTGGCTGGGTCTCAAAGTACTTCCAGAACCACCGACTTCTGGAGCGATCAGTGCCACTTACTGGCAGAAGTTGCTTCCCAGAGAGGGTTCTGAGATGCTAACCCCTGGCCCGGGGTCGGAGCTTCACCCTCTTTGGTCTCTTTCCATCTC